GTGTTGCTTGCTCCACTTGGTCCGTTCTGAATCGGACGCGGGGGCGGGCGGACGTGGTAGGTGCGGTCCAGAAGCTTCCTGGAGTTTGACAAGCTCGTCGCCACGCCCGACATGATGCCCAAGGTGCGCTGTGTTGCTTGCACAGGCGGACGTGGTAGGTGCGGTCCAGAAGCTTCCTGGAGTTTGACAAGCTCGTCGCCACGCCGCACATGATGCCCAAGGTGCGCTGTGTTGCTTGCTCCACTTGGTCCGTTCTGAATCGGAGGCGGGGGCGGGCGGACGTGGTAGGTGCGGTCCAGAAGCTTCCTGGAGTTTGACAAGCTCGTCGCCACGCCGCACATGATGCCCAAGGTGCGCTGCGTTGCTTGCTCTACTTGGTCCGTTCTGAATCGGAGGCGGGGGCGGGCGGACGTGGTAGGTGCGGTCCAGAAGCTTCCTGGAGTTTGACAAGCTCGTCGCCACGCCGCACATGATGCCCAAGGTGCGCTGTGTTGCTTGCTCTACTTGGTCCGTTCTGAATCGGAGGCGGGGGCGGGCGGACGTGGTAGGTGCGGTCCAGAAGCTTCCTGGAGTTTGACAAGCTCGTCGCCACGCCGCACATGATGCCCAAGGTGCGCTGCGTTGCTTGCTCTACTTGGTCCGTTCTGAATCGGAGGCGGGGGCGGGCGGACGTGGTAGGTGCGGTCCAGAAGCTTCCTGGAGTTTGACAAGCTCGTCGCCACGCCGCACATGATGCCCAAGGTGCGCTGTGTTGCTTGCTCTACTTGGTCCGTTCTGAATCGGAGGCGGGGGCGGGCGGACGTGGTAGGTGCGGTCCAGAAGCTTCCTGGAGTTTGACAAGCTCGTCGCCACGCCGCACATGATGCCCAAGGTGCGCTGCGTTGCTTGCTCTACTTGGTCCGTTCTGAATCGGAGGCGGGGGCGGGCGGACGTGGTAGGTGCGGTCCAGAAGCTTCCTGGAGTTTGACAAGCTCGTCGCCACGCCGCACATGATGCCCAAGGTGCGCTGTGTTGCTTGCTCTACTTGGTCCGTTCTGAATCGGAGGCGGGGGCGGGCGGACGTGGTAGGTGCGGTCCAGAAGCTTCCTGGAGTTTGACAAGCTCGTCGCCACGCCGCACATGATGCCCAAGGTGCGCTGCGTTGCTTGCTCTACTTGGTCCGTTCTGAATCGGAGGCGGGGGCGGGCGGACGTGGTAGGTGCGGTCCAGAAGCTTCCTGGAGTTTGACAAGCTCGTCGCCACGCCGCACATGATGCCCAAGGTGCGCTGTGTTGCTTGCTCTACTTGGTCCGTTCTGAATCGGAGGCGGGGGCGGGCGGACGTGGTAGGTGCGGTCCAGAAGCTTCCTGGAGTTTGACAAGCTCGTCGCCACGCCGCACATGATGCCCAAGGTGCGCTGTGTTGCTTGCTCCACTTGGTCCGTTCTGAATCGGACGCGGGGGCGGGCGGACGTGGTAGGTGCGGTCCAGAAGCTTCCTGGAGTTTGACAAGCTCGTCGCCACGCCTGACATGATGCCCAAGGTGCGCTGTGTTGCTTGCTCCACTTGGTCCGTTCTGAATCGGACGCGGGGGCGGGCGGACGTGGTAGGTGCGGTCCAGAAGCTTCCTGGAGTTTGACAAGCTCGTCGCCACGCCCGACATGATGCCCAAGGTGCGCTGTGTTGCTTGCTCCACTTGGTCCGTTCCGAATCGGACGCGGGGGCGGGCGGACGTGGTAGGTGCGGTCCAGAAGCTTCCTGGAGTTTGACAAGCTCGTCGCCACGCCGCACATGATGCCCAAGGTGCGCTGTGTTGCTTGCTCCACTTGGTCCGTTCTGAATCGGACGCGGGGGCGGGCGGACGTGGTAGGTGCGGTCCAGAAGCTTCCTGGAGTTTGACAAGCTCGTCGCCACGCCCGACATGATGCCCAAGGTGCGCTGTGTTGCTTGCTCTACTTGGTCCGTTCTGAATCGGACGCGGGGGCGGGCGGACGTGGTAGGTGCGGTCCAGAAGCTTCCTGGAGTTTGACAAGCTCGTCGCCACGCCCGACATGATGCCCAAGGTGCGCTGTGTTGCTTGCTCCACTTGGTCCGTTCTGAATCGGAGGCGGGGGCGGGCGGACGTGGTAGGTGCGGTCCAGAAGCTTCCTGGAGTTTGACAAGCTCGTCGCCACGCCGCACATGATGCCCAAGGTGCGCTGTGTTGCTTGCTCTACTTGGTCCGTTCTGAATCGGAGGCGGGGGCGGGCGGACGTGGTAGGTGCGGTCCAGAAGCTTCCTGGAGTTTGACAAGCTCGTCGCCACGCCGCACATGATGCCCAAGGTGCGCTGCGTTGCTTGCTCCACTTGGTCCGTTCTGAATCGGAGGCGGGGGCGGGCGGACGTGGTAGGTGCGGTCCAGAAGCTTCCTGGAGTTTGACAAGCTCGTCGCCACGCCGCACATGATGCCCAAGGTGCGCTGTGTTGCTTGCTCTACTTGGTCCGTTCTGAATCGGAGGCGGGGGCGGGCGGACGTGGTAGGTGCGGTCCAGAAGCTTCCTGGAGTTTGACAAGCTCGTCGCCACGCCGCACATGATGCCCAAGGTGCGCTGCGTTGCTTGCTCCACTTGGTCCGTTCTGAATCGGAGGCGGGGGCGGGCGGACGTGGTAGGTGCGGTCCAGAAGCTTCCTGGAGTTTGACAAGCTCGTCGCCACGCACGACATGATGCCCAAGGTGCGCTGTGTTGCTTGCTCCACTTGGTCCGTTCTGAATCGGACGCGGGGGCGGGCGGACGTGGTAGGTGCGGTCCAGAAGCTTCCTGGAGTTTGACAAGCTCGTCGCCACGCCCGACATGATGCCCAAGGTGCGCTGTGTTGCTTGCACAGGCGGACGTGGTAGGTGCGGTCCAGAAGCTTCCTGGAGTTTGACAAGCTCGTCGCCACGCCGCACATGATGCCCAAGGTGCGCTGTGTTGCTTGCTCCACTTGGTCCGTTCTGAATCGGAGGCGGGGGCGGGCGGACGTGGTAGGTGCGGTCCAGAAGCTTCCTGGAGTTTGACAAGCTCGTCGCCACGCCGCACATGATGCCCAAGGTGCGCTGCGTTGCTTGCTCTACTTGGTCCGTTCTGAATCGGAGGCGGGGGCGGGCGGACGTGGTAGGTGCGGTCCAGAAGCTTCCTGGAGTTTGACAAGCTCGTCGCCACGCCGCACATGATGCCCAAGGTGCGCTGTGTTGCTTGCTCTACTTGGTCCGTTCTGAATCGGAGGCGGGGGCGGGCGGACGTGGTAGGTGCGGTCCAGAAGCTTCCTGGAGTTTGACAAGCTCGTCGCCACGCCGCACATGATGCCCAAGGTGCGCTGCGTTGCTTGCTCTACTTGGTCCGTTCTGAATCGGAGGCGGGGGCGGGCGGACGTGGTAGGTGCGGTCCAGAAGCTTCCTGGAGTTTGACAAGCTCGTCGCCACGCCGCACATGATGCCCAAGGTGCGCTGTGTTGCTTGCTCTACTTGGTCCGTTCTGAATCGGAGGCGGGGGCGGGCGGACGTGGTAGGTGCGGTCCAGAAGCTTCCTGGAGTTTGACAAGCTCGTCGCCACGCCGCACATGATGCCCAAGGTGCGCTGCGTTGCTTGCTCTACTTGGTCCGTTCTGAATCGGAGGCGGGGGCGGGCGGACGTGGTAGGTGCGGTCCAGAAGCTTCCTGGAGTTTGACAAGCTCGTCGCCACGCCGCACATGATGCCCAAGGTGCGCTGTGTTGCTTGCTCTACTTGGTCCGTTCTGAATCGGAGGCGGGGGCGGGCGGACGTGGTAGGTGCGGTCCAGAAGCTTCCTGGAGTTTGACAAGCTCGTCGCCACGCCGCACATGATGCCCAAGGTGCGCTGCGTTGCTTGCTCTACTTGGTCCGTTCTGAATCGGAGGCGGGGGCGGGCGGACGTGGTAGGTGCGGTCCAGAAGCTTCCTGGAGTTTGACAAGCTCGTCGCCACGCCGCACATGATGCCCAAGGTGCGCTGTGTTGCTTGCTCTACTTGGTCCGTTCTGAATCGGAGGCGGGGGCGGGCGGACGTGGTAGGTGCGGTCCAGAAGCTTCCTGGAGTTTGACAAGCTCGTCGCCACGCCGCACATGATGCCCAAGGTGCGCTGTGTTGCTTGCTCCACTTGGTCCGTTCTGAATCGGACGCGGGGGCGGGTGGACGTGGTAGGTGCGGTCCAGAAGCTTCCTGGAGTTTGACAAGCTCGTCGCCACGCCTGACATGATGCCCAAGGTGCGCTGTGTTGCTTGCTCCACTTGGTCCGTTCTGAATCGGACGCGGGGGCGGGCGGACGTGGTAGGTGCGGTCCAGAAGCTTCCTGGAGTTTGACAAGCTCGTCGCCACGCCCGACATGATGCCCAAGGTGCGCTGCTGCGGACTGCTACCTGTCTCTGGCTCTGAGCCGAGCTGTCTCACACACTTATCTATTTTCTACCACTTGGTTTCCCTCCCCTCCCCCGCTCCCATTCCTTCACTCCCTCTCCCCTACTCGCCTCTCTCCCACTCGTCTCTCCCCCACTCGCCTCTCCCGCACCCTTTTCTTCTCCCCCACTCCCTCTCCCCTGCTCCCGCTACTACTCGCCTCTCCCGCACTTCCCCCCCCCCTCTCCCTCTCCTCCACTACCTCTCTCCCACTCCATCTCCCGCTCTCCCTCTCCCCCGCTCCGTCTCCCCTGCTCTCTCTCCCCCACTCCCCACTCCTCTCCCTCTCAAGGGACACGTCTGGATCGTCTGCTGGGCCCACACAACCTCATGCCCAACCCCCAGGACCAAAGTCCGAGGCATGCTTCGGACCTATCTTATACCCTTAACCCCTCCCCAGCCCATACTCCTTTTCCCCAACGCCCTTTTCCCTGTGCTCCCATGTCTCTCCCCTCCCTAGTGGGACATCTGTGTCGGCTACTCGGTCCATGTGGCCTCATGCACAACTTCAAGGGCCCAAGCCCAAGGCATGCCTTTGAGCGATCTCATGCCCTTGTTCCCTACTCTCCTCTCTCTTCGTCCCCGCTTCCAGGTGGCACGTCTGGGTCGTCTGCTTGGTCCACGTGGTCTCATGCCCAACCCCAAGGCCGGCACCGTCACCACTGACCTTGCTTCGGTATGCACTGATTCTTGCTTCGGTACTTGTTTTGTTACTTGGTTTCGGTTTTTGCCCTTCAAATTCACTGCTGCTGCTGCAGTGCGTACAGTTTATCGTCCATACAACTCAAGCCAGTCACTCCTCCCATCCCCTTCTCTTTTGGCCTTCCTTTGACTTAAGTTTCCTTTTGTGAAGCCAGCTCCTCACACCTCCCCGCCCCCTTTTCTCTCGCCCTTTTTTTCCCCACCATACAAGCTTTCTGACCTGGTGGAGGATTGCACGGACAAATTGGTGCACTGCGCTGCATTTATTCACTCACTAGTGTTATTCTGTCCTGCACTGCGCCCATTGTCCCCATCCCCTGCCCCTACCCGTGGCAGGCGGTGGTGGACTTCAAGGCGGGCAAGGTGGAGTATCGGGCGGACAAGACTGGCATCGTGCACGTGCTCTTCGGCAAGGCCTCCTTCTCCAACGAAGACCTCCTCACCAACCTCGTTGCCGTCGCTGTAAGTGTATTCATGATTTCTCTTGTAGTTTATTGACTATGTGATGTATGGTGTGTGGCAATGGTTGTCTGCTGGTGTCATGACTGATATTGTGCTTGTTTGTTCGTGGGATGTGTTGTGATGCTGCAGAACTCCGTGGATGCGAATCGCCCACCAGGCGCCAAGGGAGTGTACTGGAAGACCGCTTACATCTGCGCAACAATGGGCCCGTCTGTTCGTGTAAATGTGTCGGCCTTGAGGGACTTCAAGCTGCCCACTGCCTCATCGTAAGGAAGTGTTTCAAATGTCAACGTTATCCACACGTATAAAATGCAGTGATGAATGAGATTTTTACAGGAAGTACTACTGTGCCGAATTCTTTGTAGGGTGTAATAGTGTTTCCATAAATGAGAAATCGTGTTAGCAACACGATGGCGCGCTGTAACCTACACCGTGTTCTTTCCTCTCCCGAGTTAACCAATCATAGAATCAACACAGCTGAGTCAGCCTGATTTCGCAAGCCAATAGGAAGCTCAAGGCATCACTGGTTCGTTAGCTCTCTGCGGCCCTCGCTTCGTTTCGGCCTGGTTCGGTAACTGCGCTGCGGGGTGGGCAGCCCACAAATAATTCCTCAGTTCCAAGCTGGAGCAGGTGTGAACTGTGGCCTTTCAGGGTATTCGCTTCGCTGCCCGTCAAATTGTCGGTCATCGGTTTCCGTTGTGACTCGTGAGGTGAGTGTTGGTGGGCAGCAATCTGATTGGGGCGAAGCCAATGGCGATGCAGAAAAGTGTGTGTTAGGCTCGGAATTTCGGGGGGAAAGGCCCGGTCTGCACAAACGAGCGGGGTAGGTTAGGTCCAAGCGCGACATTTGTGTGAGGTGATTGATGCGAGGAGGTTAGGCTGTTGCTTGCTGCGGTTGTGTTGGCCACGAAACTCTCCGCGTTTCGCCTGGAGACACTGTCACCGTGCGCTACCGCACAAAACCTACCTCGGGATTGCCGTTGGAGGTGATGAACATATATTCCTTTGGGTTTTTATACGGGCCGTCACAAAACATTTCGTAGTTATCACGAGCAGTCAAATGTTCCGCCAAATCTATCACGGACAGTCACAAAATCCGCCAAATCTATCACGAACCATCACACGGGTATCACCCGCCGTCACAAAATGACACTATTTTCTATCACAAATAGTCACACTCGAAACTTTGCTATCACAGATGAGCCCTCTAATGATTTCGTTGACCCGCCCTGAAACACTATACAGATTCAGGGACTATATTTCGGGTGGCTAGTTTTTGTCTTGTATACGCGAGTATTTTGGTTGCAAAGATACCTGGTTACATTCGAACAGTTGTAACAAAATTATAGTTTTTGTAAGGAAAAACCCTTTTTTCCTTACTGGGGTTTACTCAACCGCGTACAACCCCAACTTTCGGAAGTGCACGTTCGGCCGCTTTGCTTGCTGCCGAAGCAACCTCGCGTCGCCTTCGGCTTTCCATTGCCCAACCTGCACCCAACCTCGCGTTCCCGAGGTTCCCGCCTAGCTAGGTTGTCTCGCTATATAATCGCATGCCTTTCATTGTATCGTCAGTTCATTGAGTCACAGCCTCGTTATTCGTTATTCCGCGCAACTCTGTTTGACAACTCATAACACATGTTTTAAAATTTTTATAAAAAAGCGAATGCATATATATATTGCTAGAGTTCATAATTCATTAAATCTGCCTAAATGTTTATCAGAATGTTAAACAATCCATAACTAGAAACACACAATTTATATTTCGTCATACAGCAGATAGAATATATAAGAACTCAAAATGTGGAATGGTTATATGACTCGCAAGCTTAGAAAAAAAAAAGCCTTTTCCCGTTATGCGCACTTGCGTTTGTTTACATCATCAAATCAGTTGCATATTATATTACAACCAAACAGCCTTACCTAGCATCATATAGCATAAGTTATTGTTAAAAATGATTGCAAGTTATAATTGTTTGTATGATACGCCTCATACCGTATCGGACTTGCACATATCATAATTGCATGGCAAGCAAAGGATTTTGGGTAACACAAGACCTATTTTGTAAATGATAGAACATACTATATACAACCGTGAAATCACCAAATGGCATGTGATTAAACATTGAGGAAGATACTTTAAAAGGTGAACTCCGGCAATATCTATATGCGTTTGTTTGATATTGTGTGTAACGTCGATTCGAACGTAACCAGGTATCTTTCCACCGAAAATGGTCGCGTATACAGGACAAAAACCAGCAACCCGAAATATTTTCCCTAAATCTGTACAGTGTTTCAGGGCGCGTCAGCGAAATGATAAGAGGGTTCATCTGTGATAGCAAAGTTTCGAGTGTGACTACCCGTGATAGAAATTAGTGTCTTTTTGTGACGGCGGGTGATACCCGTGTGATGGTTCGTGATAGATTTGGCGGATTTTGTGACTGTCCGTGATAGATTTGGCGGAACATGTGACTGCTCGTGATAACTAAGAAAGTTTTGTGACGGCCCGTATAAAAACCCTATTCCTTTCGCAACTGCTGCTGATATTTTGCAGAGGACAGTTCAAACTGGGCTGGGAGATTAGACGGGTAGGAGACGCGAGTCGTGCTGTGCTAGCTTCTGTTGTTTACGAGCATGCGGATCTAAATCGTTCTAGTTACGGGTGTTCGTGTTTGCATCTTTTTGCGTTTGTCCTCCTCGTTCAACATTCGTCCAGAAACAATCAGACCTTCGGCCGCTAACCTTTCCTCGTCTGTTCCGGTGCTCATAGCATTGTAGTTTCCTAGCATTCGTGCTAAGCACAGTACGTTTTCTCGCTAGTTTCCTTCCAGATAATCTACTCTCGTAGTCCGTAATCTCCGCACTTAACCTCGCATCATCGTCGGACAGAGTTGAACTTCGCAGTTCTCCCTTAGTTCTCCCGCAGTTTTTTCCGCAGTCTTTCGTTGAGATCGTCCCTCAGTAGGTTACGGACTTATCTCACTTCAGCTCCTCGGCAGCTGCTCTCTTATGGCCTCTGCCTCCAATCGTCCTCGTTGTCGCCCTTGAGACCTAATCGCCAGCCGCCGCTCGGGCCCGTTCACCATGGTAAGCCGCCGTGTGTGTTCTTTCCTTTGACGTTCACGTTCTTGTGCTGTCAATCTCTCGCGTTCTCGTGCTGTCGAGCTTTGTATTGTCACTTTCTGCCGTTTTTTGTGATTGAAAGAACAAATTCGCTGATCAAAACAAGCTCGTGCTTTTTCGGTGTACCCGAGAACCCGAAAACGAACCCGCAGTCGCCAAATCATGGTCGCAATCTACTACGCGCGTGAATTCTGCATGACTATGTCGCCTGCACTAAGCTCTTCAAATCCTTCTCTATCGAATAGAGGGTCGTTTGCGATCTTGTGTTGCACGTTGTCTCCCCTTGCACAACGTCGCTCACCATCGCGCAATGTCGCTCACCATCGCGTAGCGTCGCATTCTACCATCTGCAGCGTACTCTGCTTCTGAGAAATTTCAAAATCGGCTGAGAAATGTTCAAAGTCCGAATTTCTGCACAGTTTATCGTCAGGTCGCCACCACAAAATCCGCCTTTCGCGGGCTCCTGGTTTATCGGGTTACCCTTTCACTCAAAGCTCCACTTCAGCAGTTACCCCTACTCGCGAAAACTCTTCCCCGCACTCCGCTTCCGCCACCGCAGCCCTCTCTTTGCCTGTGTGTCTGATGTATATTCGGTAAATTTCAAGATGGCGCAAAAAGAACCTCCAACCCCGTATCGCCTCCCCTTCTCCAAGCCTCACCATCCCATATCCACGCTTTCAAGCAGCGCAGCTTGTTCAGTGAGGATTGCATAATCTGGCACGGGACAGGACGAATGGGGGGGCATGTGGGCTGTAACGTGCGCATGCGTTCCTGCTCGTCCCTCACTTCTCTCACTTTAGTCTTTCCCGTTTATCATCACTCTTTTTCCCCTCACTTTCCCCCCCAGTTTCTTTCCCTCCTCACGTACTCATGAACCTGAACCCATTTTCACTGACCGTCCCCTCATCTCCCCTTCCTCACCCCATTTGTAGGTCTTGGAGCAGCAGGGTGAGTTCGTTCGTGGTATGCAGCAGCGTGTGGGTGTCAACTGAGTGGGGCATGCTGGTATAGTGGCACCCCACCCCACCCCATCCCACTACATCCCACCCCACCCACCCAACCCATCGCACCCCCTACCCACCAGGGCTCGGAGCAGCGCAGTGTGTTCACGGTGGGCAGCAGCGTGTGGGTGCCGGACGAGGAGGATGCATGGGCGGAGGGCGAGGTGGTGGCCCTCAAGGATGGCGGAGGGGGTGCGGGCGGGCAGGTGGTGGTGCGCACCACAGGGAAGAAGAAACGCGAGGTGAGAGATGGTTGCGTGTGGTGGCGATGGGTAGGAAGTGGCGCTGCTGGTGGTGGTGCTGACTGGAGGGGGTGCGGGCGGGCAGGTGGTGGTGCGCACTACAGGGAAGAAGAAACGCGAGGTGAGAGATGGGTGGGTGTGGTGCTGGTGATGGGTGGTGCTGCTGTTGGTACTGCTGGGTGGAGAGGTGGCGGGTGGGCAGGTGGTGGTGCGCACTACAGGGAAGAAGAAACGCGAGGCGAGTGCAATGATGGGTGGGTGGAGGTGGTGCTGCTGTTGATGGGTGGTGGTGCTGGCAGGGTGGTTTTCCCAGTTACTGATTATTCAGCCTGGAAAAGGGCATCGTATTCACTGGGGCTTGAAGAAATGAATAGAGAAGATTGTGTGGAGGGGTGGGCCAGCCGGCAGGAGGTGATGGGAGTCACGATAGGGTAGGGAGGAAGAAGTGAGAGGTGAGACTAGTGACACTTCGGGAGGGAGAGGTTATTGGAGATGGTGTTGGAGATAGGCAGTGCAGTGCATTGGCACTAGGAATGGAGGAAATGGTCAAGCTAATATGTTGTGTGTGTTTCAATATGATGTGTGGTGTGGGTACTGTGGTGGTGCGTGCTGTGCTGTGGTGTTTGTGTTGGTATTTGTGCAGTGTGCGTGGCACTGTGCATGGTAAAGTGCTAGAATTGCCGTGTCACGAGATGCATGCGATGGTGCATGGAGGGAGAGAGTGGAAGTGATGCTTTGCAAAGGGAGTGCCTTGTGCCTTGGGTGCTATGCAAAAGGAGGAGGACGGGTGCATCATGGAGATATGGTTATGTTGGCTTTGACACTCAAAACCGTTCTCTCTCTCTCCCTCTCTTTAACTCAGGTGACAGTAGCAGCGGGTGCGTGCTATGCACGGGAGGAGGATGGAGGAATCATGGACGACATGGTCAAGATGGCCTATCTGCACGAGCCAGGGGTGCTCTCTAACCTCATGCTGCGCTACCAGCGCAACCTTATTTATGTAAGTGCTGGTGCTTATGAGATATATACAGAACGTTAAACAGCATTGGCACTGGGTAAAGTGAGGCAGCACCGGCAGGCACATGGGTGGGAGGTTGGCAGTTGGGGTCACTTTTGACTCAAAGTTCTGAGTATTCTCAAGAGTTCGATTGTCATATGATTCCTTCATGCAAATCCCTTGGTAAGTCTCAGTCCTTGCACCTGATCCCCCAAACCCAGAACCCGAAACCCAGAGCCTGAATTCCTGAACCAAAACGATGATCCAGAACCTGACACCCTGATTTTTCAAACATGAAACTCGCAATCCTCTTCTCCGCCGCCCCCCCCTTCCCTCCCGCCTTCCATTGCTCTCTGCCCTCCCACCAGACGTACACAGGCAGCATTCTGATCGCCGCGAACCCCTTCATGCGCATACCAGGCATCTACGACCGGGAGATGAGGGAGGCCTACAGAGGGGCACAGATCGGTGACCTCAGCCCACATGTGTTCGCCATTGCTGATAACGCGTACAGGTGAGCAGAGTGGGTGCGGGAATATAGGCCGTATAGGTGAGCAGAGAGGTGGAGGGGTATAGGCTGTACAGGTGAGCAGGTGGGCTGGGTGGTGGATAGGTCCAAGTCCAACAAGCCAGGACTTCGGCCATTTGTGTGCACTCAACGGCTGGACACAAGTATGTGAGGTCATCGAGTGGACGGACTGCTCCTCTCCATGGCTGTGCTTTCACTGAATGTCCTCTCACTCACTTCAGCACCCACCCCTGCTGGGCCACAGCAGCCCACCCCTGTCGATTATGACCCCAGAGAGTAAAGTCCTGTCATCATTTAGTGTTGTACAATCATTTACCTCGTCCCTGCACGATTGTTTCTCCCTCTCCATGTCCCTCCATCCCAACACCCCTGCAGGGCGATGGTGGTCGATAAGTGCAGCCAGTCGATTCTGATCAGCAGAGAACAGTCCCATCATTAAGTAAGCTTATTACTCCGCGTGCACACCATGCCTCCTCCCAACGCCCACCCCTGCAGGGCGATGGTGGATGATAAGCGCAGCCAGTCGATTCTGATCAGCGGGGAGAGCGGGGCGGGCAAGACGGAGACAACAAAGCTGGTGATGGAGTATCTGGCTTCTGTGGGGGGGAGATCTGAGGCCACTGAGGGGCGCAGCATTGAGAGCCAAGTGCTGGAGGTGAGTCGAGAGGTGGAGGTCAGAGCACGAGAGGGAGACGAGAGGGGAGTGATGGAGGAGAGGGGGGAAGGGTGAGACAGGCTGTGGATTAGGGTAAGAAAGCCAAGTGTTGGAGGTGGGAGAGCTGTGGAGTAGGCGGGGGTTGGGAAACGAGGAGACAGGCTGTGCAGTAGAGGTGGAGGTGAGAGAGAGGGGGGTGGAGAGGGAGAGGGAAAGATGGTCGTAAGTGGTTTGGTTGGAGGGAAGCATAGCCAAAATGTCATCCCGATTTTCCCCACCCTTACTCTCCCACCAACCCTCCAGTCCAACCCTCTCCTGGAAGCCTTTGGCAATGCCAAGACGGTTCGCAACGACAACTCGAGTCGCTTTGGCAAGTTCAGCGAGATCCAGTTCGGCCAGCAAATTCCTACCTTCCTGTCCTCCTCTCGTCCTCTTGCCAATCCTTTCCCTCCCCCCATCCCTCCTCCCCATCCCGCACACTCCGCTCCCCTCCCATCCCCTCCCACCCCCCTCCCTCCTATCACCCACCAGTCCAACCCATTGCTAGAAGTCTTTGGCAATGCCAAGACGGTGCGCAACGAAAATTCGAGCCGCTTTGGCAAGTTTATCGAGATTCAGTTCGACCAGCGCGGCCGCGTGTCCCTACGTTCCTCCCTCCCTCCCCCCTCTCTTGCCAAGCAAACTGTTATCCTCCCCATTTCCCCCTCCACCCTCGCCCCGTCCCGTACACTCCCCTCTTCCTCCCCACCTCCTCCCCCCTCCCTAACCAACCCACAGTCCAACCCATTGCTGGAAGCCTTTGGAAACGCCAAGACAGTGCGAAACGACAACTCGAGTCGCTTTGGCAAGTTTATCGAGATCCAGTTCGACCAGCGCAACCCTATCCTTCCTCTCCTTTCCCCGTCCTTTCCAATTGTTTTCCTCTCTCCCTCACCAGTCGAACCCTCTTCTTGAAGCCTTTGGCAATGCCAAGACGGTGCGAAACGACAATTCGAGTCGCTTTGGCAAGTTCATCGAGATTCAGTTTGACCAGCGCGGCCGCGTGTCCGGTGCCGCCATCCGCTCCTACCTCCTAGAGCGGTCCAGAGTGGTGCAGATAGCAGACCCCGAACGCAACTACCACTGCTTCTACCAGCTGTGTGCGGGCGCGTCCCCTGAGGAGGCAGAGAAGTACCGGCTGCCCCCAGGGCCAAACAGAGCGGAGAAGTTCCACTACCTGAAGCAGAGCAAGTGCATTGAGCTGGAGGGGAAGCGCAGCAACGCGGAGGAGTATGTGATCACGAGAAATGCCATGGACGTTATTGGCATCTCACAGGACGAACAGGTGAGCGAAAGGATTCGCCGGGCGAACTAGTGGGGTGCTGGGTGGAGATCAGATGGTGAGGAGTGATGGGGAGGAGGAGTATGTTATCACTCGGAGTGCTATGGACGTGATTGGCATCTCGCAAGACGAAAAGGTGAGGGCAATTTATCAGAGGCAATGGGGGGAGAAGGTGAGGCGACAGGGAGAGCAAGGTGAACAGTCGTTTGTTGGTGGAATGCAAGTTCTTTTCTTCAACGAGTTGCGGCGAACAGTCGTACCATGCCTCTTTAACCACTCGCCACCCATCCCCATGTGTGCACGCATGCATGCACACAGGCGTCAATTTTTGGCATAGTGGCGGCCATTCTGCATCTGGGCAACGTGGATTTCAAGGAGAAGGGAGACAAGATGCGCATCGCCAAGCACTCGGAAGAGGCCCTTGAGAACACCGCACACCTGCTCTCGTAAGCACACAGCACACCCTCTCTTGTACTTGACATAATTTTCACCTTGCTTTCTGCTTGGTGCTGCTCATGAGAAATCATTTTATCCTAAAGCTCAAAAGCTTCTTCATGTCATCGCATCCCCCTCTCACCTCCCTCCCCCCCACCACACCATCCCCCTCTCCCCAACCCTCCTTCCTTCCCACTCCCTGCTGCCCCCTCGATGCAACAAGAAGAATCGAGCCATGCACAGCGCAAGGTGGGAGGCAATGAAGAGTACTAAAGTGTGGTCTGGTCATTTCTCCACATCTCCTATTTTATCTTCCCCCTCTCGTCCCATTGTTTCCCCCCTCCCACCCCCCAGGTGCAACGAGAAGAAGCTACAGGAGTCACTGTGCACGATGAAGCTCAAGGTGGGAGCTATGAAATTAGTTGACCACGCTCCCTCTCATGCCCCGCACTCCCTACAACTCTCCCTCCACACTCCTCTCACCCCTCCGTTTCTCCCCAGGTGCGACAAGAAGAAGCTGCAGGAGTCACTATGCACAATGAAGCGCAAGGTGGGAGGCGAGGTGATTAAGAGCTACCTGGATGAGAAGGGTGCAATCGTGCGCCGAGACACACTCGCTAAGACACTCTACTCCAAACTCTTTGACTGGTGGGTGGGTGGATGTGACTGGTGGGTGGTTGGGTGATGGGTGGGTGGGTGACTGGTGGGCAGGTGACTAGTTTGTGGCTGGCTGCTTGGATGGCGGGTGGGTGGGTGAAGGTTGACTGGGTGTGGTGGTGGGAGGCGAGGTGATTAAGAGCTATCTGGACGACAAGGGTGCTCTGGTGCACCGAGAGACACTCGCTGACACACTCTACTCCAACTGGTGAGTGAATGGTGGGTGACTTGTGGGCACTCCCATCCGCCTCCAGGCTGTCTGACATGCATGACTCCTCGAATCCTCTGCCAACAATTCCTAGTCACTGCAGTCTTGTTGGATGTTTGTGTTCGCTCTCTCCCCATCCCACCCACCCACCCACCCACCCACCCAAACTCAGGTCAGGATAGTGGTGAAGGTGAATCGGTCCATCGGGCAGACGCCAATGCTCTCTTTCCCTCACTTTCTCAGGATCACAGACACCTTTCTATTTCCTTCCACACGCACACCCGCCCTCCACACATCCGCCCTCCACACACTCACCCTCCCAAACACAGGATAGTGGAGAAGGTGAATCGGTCCATTGGGCAGGACGCCAACTCCATGGCGCTCATTGGCGTGCTTGATATCTACGGCTTCGAGCACTTCAAGCTCAACAGGTGCGGTTACGTGCGGTTGTGTGCGGTTTTGTGTGGTTGTGTGCGGTTGTGTGCCGTTGTGTGCGTTTCTGTGCGGTTGAGTGCGGTTGTGAGCTGGTTTCTAGACCTCTCAAAAACCCTCATTGGCTGGCTTGTTTGATATCTACGGCTTTGAGCACTTCAAGCTCAACAGGTGCGCGTCTGAGTTTCCTCGCACTCTCGTAGAAGCGTTGGGTGACAATTGCAGCCTGCTCTGCAGGTGTCGTCAGGCACGTCCTTTGCATCCATTGCGTTGCATCCATTCTGGCAGAAGCAGGGAACATTTGCACTCTTGTGAATTCTAAGCATGTCAAGCACTCATGTTGAGCGTCATCTGTTGCACTCCTGGGCAAGCTCGACTGTTGATTCATTCACCCTCTCGATTATAGTGCTGGGTGTTTATTTTCTATTCATTTCATCTGCTGAGGTCGTCACACACAAGTGTAACTGTGGAGGATCTGCGTTCTTGACTCTTGCACATCAACTTGTCTGATTCAAGTAGTTATTGATCTATGTGATGCCACATAATGCGTGGCTCACAGCTTGTATATCTCCCCTGCCCTGCTAATACCCCCCAATCATCACCCCCCTCCACCTCAACCAATCCCCTCCAGCTTTGAGCAGTTCTGTATCAATCTGGCCAATGAGAAGCTCCAACAGCATTTTAACCAGGTAATGCTAGAAGTTAACCTGGGCAATGTAGAGTCGAAGTATGAGTCTCCCTGAGATGAGCTCCTCTCCGCCCCTCCCTGTGAACCACCCGTTACATACAAAAGGGTCCTGAAGACCCACACATCACACCTTATAACTCTACTCTGTGCTGCTCCAAATACCAGCTGTAGCCTCTCCCTTTATTCTTTCACCCCTCTCCTCGCCGCTGCTCTCCTCCCCTACTCACTCACACCACTCCACGCCCACAACCCCCCACCAACAACCACCAGCACGTGTTGAAGCTGGAGCAGGAGGAGTATGAGCGAGAAGAGATCAACTGGAGCTACATCAACTTCAGGGATAACCAAGACGTGCTAGACCTCGTTGAAGGGGTGAGCAGTTCAGATGGGGTGTGAGGGGTGATGATGCGGAAAGGAAGAGCGGTGAATGAGTTGTGAGAGGAGATAAGTGGAGTTCTGTCAACTTCTGGGATAACCAGGACGTGCTGGACCTAGTTGAAGGGGTGAGTGAAAGCATGGGTCGGGTGAGGGGTGAGCTGATGGGTGGGATGAGAAGGAGGAATGATGTGATGGGGGCTGGTGGGAGGAGTGAGTGAGCTGTGAGAAGAGATCAACTGGAGCTACATCAACTCCCGGGATAACCAGGATGTGCTGGACCTCGTTGAAGGGGTAAGCTGATGGGGTGAGAGGGGTGGTGATGTGGACTGTAGGAGAGGTGAATGAGCTGTGAGAGGGGACCAACTGGAGCTACATCAACTTTCGCGTATGTTGCCGTGTGCTGAGCTCGTATGTTCCACACCAATTCTGTGCAACGTCGCCTTCCATACTCATCATGCATCTGTGACAGCTCCCAACAGGCTTGACAACAACATGCCATGTGTATGTCTCGCATCATTGCTCCCACAGCGCTATGGGAGTGCAGGAGAGTTGACAAAGGCGCCTAACTGTCTTCTCTCTTTGCGAAACGATTCAAGAATCGCCCTTCTTTGTTTCCTTGCGCTGCTTTTGTCTGTTGCTGCAGGACAAGGGCATTCTCACACTACTCGATTCAGCCTGGTACGTTCCATCTCCCTGCCGTTCCTGCCCTCACCATGTCCTGTCGGTCCTTTGTGCACCAATGCTTTCCTTACACACTAGCGCAGTTCTGGATTGATTGCAAGAACCATGTCCCGTCTGTCTAGATCAGCCAGCATACGAGCTCTGTTAAACACCTTACTCAGGAACTCTGATTCTGCCACTCTATCACTCCTACCCTCTTTCCCTCTATTACCCCCATCAGCAAGCTAGCCCAGTCCACACCTGAGTCCTTCACCATGTCGCTCTACGACGCCTTTCTGAAGCACGAGCAGTTCACCAAGACAAAAGGCTTGGTCACGGGCTTCACTTCCTCTCCCCCACACCTTCCTCTCTGCCCTGCTTCCTCCCCTCCATCAAAGCATGAGGCGCTTCACTCCCTCTCTCCCCCCCATCCATTCCCCCACTTCTCGCTCTCTCCCTCTTCTGCACCCCCTCCCCCTCCTCTCTCCTCCCTCCCCCCTCTGCAGCAAGCTAGCCCAGTCCACACCCGAATCATTCACCATGTCGCTCTACGACGCCTTTCTAAAGCACGAGCGATTTACCAAGTCCAAGGGCTCTGTCACTGATTTCACGCTGGAGCACTACGCGGGGCGAGTCAAGTACAGCACCACCGAGTTCATCAGCAAGAACCTCGATGCCGTGGTATCAGAGCACGAGGCGCTGCTGCAGAAGTCTACTGATCCGTTTGTGGCTGCGCTGTTCCCCGCCGCTCAAGAGGAGGTCAAGGAGGCGGGAGGGAAGGGCGGCAAGGCCACCACCAAGTTTGCGTCGTTAGGGAAATCGTTCAAGGTGAGTGATGCAGCACCCTAAACCAGAGATTCTAAATTTGAAACCTAAGGTTATGTGTGACTGTTGGAGGCAAAATGCAACATGTGGCCATTGATTAAGATGGTAGTGCATGCAAGGTCTTGCACTGAAGGGTCTAAAACGTGGAAAAAAACTCCTCGAGGGTGTTCCTTTGAGGGTTTGTTCCTTTGTTTTTTTGTTTGTTTGTTTGTTTGTTTGTTTGTTTGTTTGTTTGTTTGCTTGCTTGTTTGTTTGTTTGTTTGTTTGTTTGTTTGTTTGTTTGTTTGTTTGTTTGTTTGTTTGTTTGTTTGTTTGTTTGTTTGTTTGTTTGTTTGTTTGTTTGTTGTTTGCTTTTTCCCTTTGTCACATTGCAGCTGCAACTGTCGCAGCTGATGGACACGCTGAACCGCACAGAACCGCACTACATCCGGTGTATCAAGCCCAACTCCAAGAGCCGTCCGGCACTGTTCGAGAAGAGCATGGTGGTGGAGCAACTGCGATCGGGGGTGAGTGCGATGGGGGGATGGGTGGAGGAGTGCGATGGGGAGATGGGTGGGGAAGAACTGAGAAGGAGAGCAAAGGATGTGGTACAAGGGTTGGCTAGTGCTGCTTTATAAGAGCATGGTGGTGGAGTAGCTGCGGTCGGGTGTGGGTGCCAGGAGATGAAGACGAGAGTAGAGGGGGCGGTTGTGGGATTGCAGTGGGGCGAGATAAGAAGGATGTGAGTGATGGGTTGAGTGGCTGTTTGTGGCCGCTTGCTCCCATGCTGGTCGCAGGGAGTGCTGCTGGACGTCATTTTTCTGGCCTAGAATCATGCTGGCATGTGCTCTGCAGGCCGTACGTTCGCGCTCCTCCCTGGTTCTAGGCTCCTCAAAACTCCTCCGCATGTCACCCATGATGATCAGTGGAATGCCCACTTACTGTGGTGATGTGTTGTGTTGTGTGGCATGGTGTGATACTCTGTCCTGTGCTGCGCTGTGCTGTGGTGTGCTGCGCTGTGCTGTGGTGTGCTGTGGTGTGCTGTGGTGTGCTGTGGTGTGCTGTGCTGCGGTGTGGTGTGGTGTGGTGTGGTGTGGTGTGGTGTGGTGTGGTGTGGTGTGGTGTGGTGTGGTGTGGTGTGGTGTGGTGTGGTGTGATGTGGTGTGGTCTGGTATGGTGCGGTGTGCTGCGGTGTGGTGTGCGATGGTGCATGCAGGGAGTGTTGGAGGCCATTCGCATGTGCTCTGCGGGCTACCCCACGCGCCGTCTCTTTGATGACTTCATCGACAGATTCTCGCTGCTCATCCCCTCCCTCTTTGACAAGGAGTGAGTTATTTTTTCACGTTCCATACCTTCGTCAGTCACTGTTAACCCTCACTCACCTGGACTCTTGTTTGCATTTCCCCACCCATGTCCCCTCCTGCCGGCTTTGCCTTGCCTTGCAGGTGTGCATGTTCACTTGCTTGTTGAGAATTTCCAAAGGACACGTGTGTGTTGAACGGCGGATCTGTCGTTGGATATTTTCTCCTTCCATATAAAGTTCCCACGCCAATCCCAACTGTGTGCTGCCTTGCGCCCACTCCCATCCCATCGTATTCTCACCACCCTCCCTCTCCCCCCCCCCTCTCCCCTCCTGCTCCTGTGTATGCAGGATGTCAGACCCTGAGAACGTGGAGGTCATTCTGCGCCACGCCAAGCTGGAATCTATTCTTTCTTTTTCTGACCTGTCTGATTCCCATGCCGTCCTGTGCCGCTGTGTTGCCATCCCAACCCACAGGATGTCAGACCCCGAGTATGTGGAGGTCATTCTGCGCCATGCGAGGCTGGAGAACTACCAGGTGGGTTCCTGGCCTAACGAGAGCGCACGTGCGTGCGTGCGTGCGAGCGGGTGGGCGGGCGGGCGGGCGGGTGGAGGGGAGCTGGAAAGGTGGGGGGCGTGGTGCATGCGTGTGGTGGTTGTGTGCGTGTGCAGGGGCACGTGCGTGTGGTGGTTGTGTGCGTGCGTAGGCGCACGTGCGTGTGTGTGGGTATCTTTCCGTGTGTGTACATGCATGCATGCAGGATGGGGTCCTCGACGTGGCACGTGGAGGTGATGAACAGCACCGCTGCTCCTGCACACACACTCACGCGATGGCGTTCACTCTCAGCATGCATTCCCGAATTCCCATCCACTCCCTCCTCTCCCCGACCCCTCACAGATCAGCAGGTCCAATCTGTTTCTGCAAGCAGGCCAGATGGTGCTGATAGAGACGCGGCGCCTTGAGGTGATGAACGCCGCTGCGGCTGCTGTGCACACTCTCCTCTCCTCCCATTCATTCTCCATGCATTCCCCCCCTTGCATTCCGTACGCACGCTGTGCTTGATCTACACCCCTCACAGATCGGCAAGTCCAAGGTGTTTCTGCAGATGGCGCTTGGAGGTGATGAAGGCGCGCCGCTGATGGAGACGCGGTGATGAAGACACAGATCGGCCAGATGGCACTGATGGAGACGCGGCGCATGGAGATGATGAACGCTGCTGCTGCAGTGCACACTCACCAACGTCCTTGCTATGCATTCTACTCCCCCCACACCCCCCTGCCTGCCACACACAGATCGGCAAGACCAAGGTGTTCCTGCGAGCAGGCCAGATGGCACTGATGGAGATGCGGCGACTGGAGGTGATGAACGCCGCTGCGGCCCGCATTCAGCGTGCCACGCGCCGCTTCCTCTTCCGCCTGCACCGCGCCCGCGCTGCCCTCTGCATCCAAAAGTTCTGGCGCGGTGAGTGGGGTTTAGCATGGCGCGCTTTGAGTGGGACTGCTTATACTTTGGCTGTGAATCCGGCCCTCGTTTGCTGCCCTCTGCATCCAGAAGCTCTGGCGTGGTGAGTTCAGCTTGCGTGCTGCTGTGAGTGGTACCGATGTGGGTGTTGAGTGGGGCTAATCTGTTGCTTGTGATGCTCCCTCTTGCTGCTTCTACTACCGCCCTCTAAATCCAGAAGTTTTGGCGCAGTGTGGGCAACGTGCATTCATTGCATGGAGAGAGGGCGGCAGCAGCACATGAACTTACGCACAGGATCCCTCCCCTCCTTTCACTTCCCTCCTTTCCCTTCCTCGCATTCCCTTCTCCCGTCCCTACTCCCTTCCAGCCTACACGGCACGGGTGTTTGTGCATCACCTGCGGCAGCGCCTGGCAGCAACTTGCATCCAGCGCATGGAGAGGGGCCAGCAGCAGCAAATGGGCTTCCCCACACAATCCCTCCCCTCCCTTCCCTTCCGTTCCCTTTCCTTACTTATCTTCCTTCCCTACCGTCGACCACTGCCAGCCTACACGGCACGGGTGTTTGTGCATCACCTGCGGCAGCGCCTGGCAGCAACGTGCATTCAGCGCATGGAGAGGGGCCGGCAGCAGCGCATGCGCTTCCTCATGCTGCGGCGGGCCGCAATCACCATCCAAGCCAAGTACCGCATGCACCTCTACCGCATGCGCTACCTGCACATGCGGGATAACCTTGCTGCCACCTGCATTCAGGTGCGTGTGTGATGTGATAGGGTAAGACGAGTACGTTTGGTTTGAATCCCACTGCTTGGATCTGGCCTTGGAGTGTGCACGGTGCCGGGCAGCCGTGACCATCCATCCAAGCCAAGCACCGCATGCACCTCTACCGCATGCGCTACCTGCACATGCGGGATAACCTTGCTGCCACCTTGCTACCTTCAGGTGTGCTTCAGTGCTGGACTTTGAGGACAGGGTTTCCTGCTTGTTTGTGGTATGCTCTCACACATACTGCATGGCTGTGTGCGCCTAACAGAGGTGAGCAACTGTGGTAGGCACGTACCACATGCACCTACCATAAGCACTACCTGCCTAAAACACGCTGTCTTTCATCCTTCCCCCCATCCACCTATTTCCCCCTCCCCTCCGCCCGCTCTCCTCTCTGCAGTGTCACTGGCGGGGCTATGTGGCTCGCAAGCCCTGGAAGGGCGAGTTTTGGGACGTCTCAAAACTGCCCCCCCTCCTCCTCCCCCTTTCCTCCTCCCCTCCGCCCACACCTCTCTCCGCAGTGCCACTGGCGGGGGTATGTGGCGCGCAAGCCATGGAAGGCCCTGCGGCAGTACTTCTTTGCACGGCTGGCCAGGCTGCGATATAAGAACCTCAAGCTGGTGCGTGCCTTCCTGGTCTGGTTTACATGGCTGGTCTGATACTGACTTGTTGAAAGAATTGAGTCGATAATGTGCATTTCCCCGTTCCACCCTGTTCCATTGTTCCCCCTCGATCGCTTCTCCCGTATGCCCACGCTTCCAACCTAACCAACCCTTCGACACTTATCCCTCTCAAGCTCCTCCCCTGCATCTTGTACCCCTGCCTTGCTATCCCAACCACTCCTCACAACAGCCCCACATCCCCCCCATTTAAAGCATCCCAGCCATCTCAACTCAATCACCCCCCCAGCTCCCCCATTCCCCTTCCTTCACTCTTCTCCTTTCGGTTTCTACCAGGTCTTACACCCAACCAACCCAACCATGTGTTTAAGCGTGCTTGCTCCTTTGCTTTCCTCCCCTGCCTTGCGTTCCACCAATCACAGGAGGCGGCTCGTGTTGCTGAGCTGGCGCCGCCGCGCAAGAAGACGGAGGTGGCAATGGATACGATCCGCATGATGGTGCTGCGCGTGCAGCGGGTGAGTGTGACTGTTGTAGGGAAGAATGGAGAACATGTTGTGAGTGTGAGAGAGGCGGGGTGTAATTGTGCGAGGCTGGGCTCCACCATGCAGACGGAGGTGGCTATGGATACGATCCGCATGATGGTGCTGCGCGTGCAGAGAGTAAGTGTGACTGTAAGGGAAGTGTGAGAGTATGGAGGTTAGCACATAAACAAGAAGATGGAAGTGGCAATGGGCGATCCGCATGATTGTGCTGCGCGTGCAACGGGTGAGTGTGACTGTAGGGTGGGTGAGTGTGACTATATGGAGTTGGTGGGTAGTTGGGAGAGTGTGATTGGAGGTGGAGCAGCAGGGTAGAGAGATTGTGGCGCGCGGCAGGGTGAGAGAGGTAGTGCAATGCGATTCAATACACGCCTCTCTCCACTCCGCTATCTGTGCATGCGCCTGAAACCTCTTCCACTAATACCCTTTATTCCCGCCCAACCCGCGACCTCCCCGGTCCACCTGCTCCTTTCTCCCCACCGTCCGCAACAGGACAAAGCGGAGAAGGGACGGCAGGCCCTGGAACGGCAGCTAGTGGAGGCAAGAGAGGAGGTGGAGCGGCGGGGCAGGGAGATTGAAGCTCGCGGCAGGGAGATAGCCCGGCTGCAGGAGATGCTGGATGCAGAGCAGGCGAGGGCGGACGCTGCAGAGGCTGAGGTGACCCGATTCTCCTCCATTCCACTTATCCCTCTCCATATCACCCATTCCCCCGCTCTCAACACTCTCATACCCTACCCCAGGACAAGGCGGAGAAGGGGCAGCAGGCCTTGGAGCGCCAGCTGGCAGAGGTACGAGAGGAGGTGGAGCGGCGCGGCAGGGAGATTGCGGCTCGCGGTAGGGAGATAGCCCGGTTGCAGGAGATGCTGGATGCAGAGCAGGCCAGGGCAGAGGCTGCAGAGGCTGAGGTGCGGGCGATGGTGGCGGAGAGGGAGGAGCAGCGAGAGGAGCAGCAGCAGCACTTGGTGAAAATGAAGGAGCTCTCTGTGTTGCCTGATGTGATGAGCCATACGCCCACTGCTGCTTCCGCTGCTGCTGCTGCTGCTGCTGGCGGTGGTGATGGTGCTGCTGCCAGGGATGAGGCTAGGGTGGTGACAAATGTGGCAGCTGCAGCAGTGGCGGCTGTTGACGGGGCGGTGGGAGCGACTGAAGCAGCAGAGTCTAGAAACGAAGCAGGAGGAGCTGAAGCCGCCGCCACCACCGCAACAGCAGGAGAAGCAGCGGCAGCTGCAGTGTCAGCACCCTCTCCCACAGCAACAGCAGCGGCAGCAGGGGCAGTGGCAGCGTCTGCAGTGATGCACACGGGTCCTGTGCTGTGTGCTCGGTGTGGAGGGAGAGTGGACGCATCAGGCGGAATTCCCGTGTCCCCTTCGTCCCTCCGCTCCCCTAGAACTCCCTCCTCCCGTCGACCTCCCGTGTCACCCAGGAGAACCACTACTGCCGCCGCCGCCGCCGCCGCCGCCGCCGCTGCTGCTGCTGCTGATGCTGCTGCTGCTGCTGCTGCTGCTGCTGCTGCTGCCAGTGCTGCTTCTGTCGACCCGCATGTTGATCATGCAAGAAGGCCTGTGCAAGGCGAGGGAGAGGGAGATGAGGGAGAGGAGGGAGAGGAGGAGGGAGTGGAGGAGGTGAAAGAGGTGGCGATGGAGGGGGATAGGGAGAAGGAGTGTGTTGTCGTGGGGGTGGAGGGCGGTGCAGACAGGACGGCACTTGCCAACCATTTCCTACCACCCATTATGGAGCGGTCCGCAGGAAGCGAGGCGGATTTGGTGGAGGTGGAAGCGAGGGGAGGGAGCAGAGGCAAGGGCGGGGACGGGGACGAGGAGCAAGGAGAGCAAGGAGAGCGAAAGGAGCAGCAGGCACAGGAGAAGGGGCAGGAGCCGGTGCAGGGAGGAACTGGGGAGGCGGACAAGGGAGGGAAGCCGCGACCAGTGTCCCCTCTTTCAGCTGGCGCCAGTGCCATCCGCGATAGGATTACTCTAGACGTGGGCGCTGGCACCACCACCAGTGGCGCTGCTGCTGCTGCTGCTGCTGCCGCCTCAGTAACAGCAGCAGCAGCGGGGGCAGCAGCAGCGAGTGTGGGACCTGGAGGGGGCGCCCCTCTCCCTCCCAGCGGCACGGGCAGCGACAGCAGCAGGAGGCCCATGCGCCCCCGTGCTGCCTCCTCTTCAGGCTCAGGCTGGCACGTCCCCTCAGAGGACGCTGATCAGGATCAAGAGGGGGCATCAGAGCAGCAGGACCGAGGGCCCTTGAGTGCTGACCGCGGCCCTCCCAGCTCCGAGAGACCCAGGAGAATGTCTGCAGGCGCGGGCGGGGGAGGAGGGGGAGGCGGAGGGAGGGAGTTTGGGCGGTATGGGAGTAGCTCGTTCCGCGGGTCGCCGGCTCGGGAGTTTGAGGGGGGAGCGCGGGTGGGGCGAGGAGAGGAGGGGTCGTGGAGTGGAAGGAAATTGGGGGGGGTGGGGTCGAGATCGGCTAGGAGTGGGGCGAGTGAGGCGTCGCCGAGAGGAGGCGTGGGGATGGGGATGGGGACTCCGCCCACGCCCGGGACGAGTGGGGCGGGCACGCCGCGTGGAAAGAGCCTGACGTTTTCAGCGAGCAACTTTGATAAGATCCTTGCGAGCATGCAGCGCGAAGTGGAGATTGCGCAAAAGGTGAGAGTGAGAGTGGTGAGAGGGCACAAGGTGGGTGGCTGACACTTGGCTTTTGAGTCGACTCAAAAGTCTATATTGTTTTCGGCAAGCAACTTTGAAAAGATTCTAGCGAGCATGCAGCTCGAAGTGGAGATTGCTCAGAAGGTGGAGTGATGTGAGGTGGGTGAGACGGTGCACACGGTCAGAGGGTGCACTTGTTGAGAGGGGGAGACGAACGAATCAGCAGGTGAGTCTGAGATTGCAGACTCGCAGTTTTGGGTGCCACCAGCAAAGTGGATATCACACTGGCGGGGAGGGCACCAGATCACCCCTATATCCCTCCACTCTCTTTCCCCTTTCACATAGATGCGTGAGGAGAACATCTGGCTGCGGGCAGCATACAAAGAAGTGGTGCGCAAGGCAGAGGTGGCAGGAAGGAGTGGCAGGAGCTGTATCCCTCACTCTGACTTCCTCCAAACACCTCCCCCCTCATCAGATGCGCGAGGAGAACAACTGGCTACGAGCAGCGTACAAGGAGGCGGTGCACAAGGCAGAAGTGGCGGCAGCACTGGCAGGCGCACCCACATCAACCCCATATCCCTCACTCCACTCTCTTTCTCCCTTCACGCCAGATGCGAGAGGAGAACAACTGGCTACGGGCTGCATACAAGGAAGCGGTGCACAAGGCAGAAGTGGCGGCAGAGTTGTGTGCGTGTCACCAATGCCAGACGGCTCTATCATAGCACTCACTTCCACGCCCAACCCTCCACCCTACTTCCCCCTCATCAGATGCGCGAGGAGAACAACTGGCTGCGGGCAGCATACAAGGAGGCGGTTCACAAGGCAGAGGTGGCGGCGGCACTGGCGGGGGCAGAGAGGGCGAGGGCGGAGGAGGCGGAGAGGAACGTGGCAGCGCGGGAGGAGGAGATGCGGGAGGCTCTGGCGCGGTGCCATGAGCTGCAGGAGAAGCTGCTCGGGTGAGTGCAGGCGGTGGGGTTTGTGTGGGTGATGGGGTGAATGCGGATGGTGGGGTGAGTGTGGGCGGTGGGGTGAGTGTGGGCGGTGGGGTGAGTGTGGGTGGTGGGGTGAGTCGGAAGTGGGTGTGATAGCGGCGAGGGAGGAGGAGATGACGACCCTCTGGCACAATGCCATAAGTTGCAACAGAAGCTGCTCGTGAGTGCGGGTGGTGGGGTGGGTTCGTGAGGTGGGTGGTAAGGTAAGTGCGTTTGGTGGGGTGATTGAAGGCGTTTAGACATGTGCCGGCTCTTTTCTTCTGTAGTAACTTGGTAAAGAAGTGGGGGAGAGAGGGAGAGAGGGAGAGAGGGAGAGAGGGAGAGAGGGAGAGAGGGAGAGAGGGAGAGAGGGAGAGAGGGAGGCTCCGCTGCTTTTACTAGCTGCTGGTATCTCACCGCTGGTTCCTTTCACAAGCATGGATTTTCCTCACTGTATCCACACACAAACCCTTTAAAAAACCCCTGCAATCTCCCTTCCCCGTCCCCCTCACATACTCCCTCGTTTACTTCTCACCCCCCACTGTCCACCGCAGAAAATCGCGCGAGGTGCGCACGTTGAGTCAGAGGCTGATTGCTTTCCAGGCCAGCATGGCCAACGCCAATCCCGCCATGCCCATCGACAAGCAGCAGGTGCGTTCTCACCACACACAGCACTCAGCACGCAAGTTATGCTCCATTTCCTCCCTCCCTTCTGCTCGCTCTCTTCTCCCTTCTGCTCTCTCTCTCAAACCCCCCTCCCTTCCAGCCCACCCCCTCCTCCCCCTCCCTTCCAGCCCACCCCATCCTCCCCCTCCCTTCCAGCCCACACCCATCCTCCCCCTCCCTTCCAGCCCACCCCATCCTCCCCTCCCTTCCAGCCACCCATCCTCCCCCTCCCTTCCAGCCCACCCCATCCTCCCCCTCCCTTCCAGCCCACCCCATCCTCCCCCTCCCTTCCAGCCCACCCCATCCTCCCCCCTCCCTTCCAGCCCACCCCATCCTCCCCCTCCCTTCCAGCCCACCCCATCCTCCCCCTCCCCTTCCAGCCCACCCCATCCTCCCCCTCCCTTCCAGCCCACCCCATCCTCCCCCTCCCTTCCAGCCCACCCCATCCCCCCCTCCCTTCCAGCCCACCCCATCCTCCCCCTCCCTTCCAGCCCACCCATCCTCCCCCTCCCTTCCTTCCAGCCCACCCCATCCTCCCCCTCCTTCCAGCCCACCCCATCCTCCTCCCCCTCCCTTCCAGCCCACCCCATCCTCCCCCTCCCTTCCAGCCCACCCCACCTCCCCCTCCCTTCCAGCCCACCCCATCCTCCCCCTCCCTTCCAGCCCACCCCATCCCTCCCCCTCCCTTCCAGCCCACCCCATCCTCCCCCTCCCTTCCAGCCCACCCATCCTCCCCCTCCCTTCCAGCCCACCCCATCCTCCCCCTCCTTCCAGCCACCCCATCCTCCCCCTCCCTTCCAGCCCACCCCATCCTCCCCCTCCCTTCCAGCCCACCCCCTCCCCCTCCCTTCCAGCCCACATCCCTCCCCCTCCCTTCCAGCCCACCCCTCCTCCCCCTCCCTTCCAGCCCACCCCATCCTCCCCTCCCTTCCAGCCCACCCATCCTCCCCCCTCCCTTCCAGCCCACCCCATCCTCCCCCTCCCTTCCAGCCCACCCATCCTCCTCCCCCTCCCTTCCACCCACCCCATCCTCCCCCTCCCTTCCAGCCCACCCCATCCTCCCCCTCCCTTCCAGCCCACCCCATCCTCCCCCTCCCTTCCAGCCCACCCCATCCTCCCCCTCCCTTCCAGCCCACCCCATCCTCCCCCTCCCTTCCAGCCCACCCCATCCTCCCCCTCCCCTCTGATTCTTATCCTGCATGTCCTACTTTCTACCCCCTCATTCAGATCTCTCTCCCCTCTCTCACTCTTCATTGCTGCGCCTACCATCTAACCCTGCATCTGCACTCGCGCATAGCTCTCGCCCCTGTCCCTCCAAGCAGAGTGGCCCTGTCTCTCTCAACTTGCTCAAACAAGGTGCCACTCCCATGCTTTATCTTCACCTCCTAGGCTAAACCTTTTGCGGCCTGCCAGAAAAAATACAAAAAAAAACTCCCCTGCGAACCCCCACTCACTTCTCCTTTCCTACCTCCTGTTTCCCCCCCTCTTTCCTCCCACCCCCGTGCTACAGGAGGTATTGCTGAACGAGATAGCAGTGAGCCGCTTCCCCTTCGGCCCGCAAGGCCAGCCAGTCGCCGCGTGTGTGGTGTACCGCTCGCTGCTGCACTGGCGGGTGTTCCAGGCCGAGAAGACCAACGCGTTTGACCGAATCATCGAGACCTTCCAGATGGTCTCGCGCTCCGATGACATGAGCACGCTCAGCTACTGGCTCAGCAACCACGTCGTGCTGCTGTACCTCGTGCAGGTGGGTGCTGGGAGGGGGTGGAGAAAAGGGATGGGGGGAGGTACTTGTGTGGTGGGAGTGGGAGCTGAGCTGGGGGATCTTTCAGATGGTCTCTCGCTCGGACGACATGAGCACGCTCAGCTACTGGCTCAGCAACCACGTCGTGCTGCTGTATCTCGTGCAGGTGGGTGCTGGGGCGGAAGAGTGGTTGGGGAGAGAGAGTGGAGGGGGAGGTAGTTGGGGGCGTGCTATATAGGTCGAGTGGTATGAGCACCTTGACCTCGTGGTTGAACCTTTGCTGTTGAACCTTAACCCTTCCCCCTCCCCCCTTCGCCTTCTCCTTTCCCATCCTCTCCCCCCTCTCCCCCCCTCAGGTGGTGTACAAGGCTCCAGCAGAGACGCCCCCAGTCCCCACCTCTGCTGTTGAATGTTAACTCTCCAATCACCCACTCCCCTCCATCTTGCCCCCTCCTCCCCCGTCCCCTCCCTCTTGCCCCCTCTTCCCCCGTCCCCTCCCTCTTGCCCCCTCCTCCCCCGTCCCCTCCCTCTTGCCCCTCCTCCCCCGTCCCCTCCAGGTGGTGTACAAGGCACCAGCAGAGAAGCCCAAGTTCGAGCGCGTCACCACGTTTGGCTTCTTTGGAGCTCGCCCCCCCACTCCGGTGAGATGCAGTGCGGTGCTGTGGGGTGGGATGAGGTGAGTCGCGGTGGAATGGGTTGATTCGTGGTTCTGTCAGGTTCCAAGTGTCGTGCAAGTGGATGTGATGTTATGCAGCAGTTTCTCTCCATTCTCTCCCCCGCCCCCGCCCCTTCTTGTTTTGAGACTTCTCCGAGCTTCATCTCCCCTGCCCACCCTTCCCCACATCGCACATTGTTGTCACATCCCTCCCCAACTTTCTTTCTTCCCATCACCCCCAACCCTAGCCACGACCCAGTACGACGATGCAGCAGGTGGATGTGATGCTGTTAAAGCAACACACAAGAGTCAAACAATAAGTTACCTACATGCACCGCTGCTGCTGACCGCTCTCCTTCCCTCACACCCCTCCCCATCAATCATCCTTCCCCCCAGCCGCGACCCAGTGCAACAATGCAGCAGGTGGATCTGATGCTGTTCAAGCAGCAGCTGGCGACTTACTCACTCCCTACTCATTCCCTCTCTTTCATCCCTACCTTCTACTCTCCAACCACCCCTTCCCCACACCCACCCTCTCCAGCCGCGACCCACTGCAACGATGCAGCAGGTGGATCTGATGCTGTTCAAGCAGCACACGCGACTCACTCACTCCCTAACCTCGTCGCCTCTCCTTCATTCCTCCCTCTCACAATTCGCTCTCCCGCCCCCCCCCCCCCCTCTCCCCAGCCGCGACCCAGTGCGACGATGCAGCAGGTGGATCTGATGCTGTTCAAGCAGCAGCTGGCGACCGGCATCGAGCGGCTGTATGTGACCATCCGCGACAGCGCCAAGACAGAGCTCGCCGTCCACTTCAACCCACAGGTGCGGTGCAGTGCGGTGGGGAGTGGTTGTGGGGTTGAGGAAGGGTGTTGTGGTGGTCCGGTCCGGTCCGGTGGGGGCTTGTGTTGACTGCAAGAGGGTGGAATAAGGCAGATCGGCTGTATGTCACCATCCGCGACAGCGCCAAGACAGAGCTCGCCGTCCACTTCAACCACAGGTGCGGTGCGGTACTGCTGGGTGGGGTGGGTTGGGGTGGGAGGGGGATGGTCTTTCTGTGCAGCGGCTGTATTTGACCATCCGCGACAGCGCCAAGACAGTGCGGTGGGGAGTGATTGTGGGGGTTGGGAAGGGGGGTTGTGGTGGTTCGGTGGGGGCTCGTGCTGACTGCAAGGGTGCGGAATAGGCAGTGTGTGTCCAGAGCGACTGTATGTCACCATCCGACCGGGCAGCACCCAGACAGAGCTCTCCGTGTGCTTCAATCCACGGAATGGGTCTTACCCCTAAGACCTACCCCCATTCCCATGTTCGGTGAGGAGCGGTCATGGGAATGGGGGTAGGTCGTAGGGGTAAGGGGTGATTGTGGGGGGGAAGATGGCCTTACAGGTGGTCTGCTGGGGTGAGGGCTCGTGTAGGGTGCAAGGGTCTGGTGTGGGGCAGCTGCATATTATGACCATTTGAGACAGTGCCAAGTCAGAGCTTGGCGTGCACTTCAACCCACAGGTGCAGTGCAATGGGGAGTGGTCGTGGTCGTTGAGGAGTGGTCGTTGGGGTTGTGGGGTGGTTTCTTGAGTGGGTACGAGTGGTCAAGCCTGACCTCACTCTCTCTTCTCTACCCTATCTTCCCTCTCTCCCCACTCTTCCCTCTCTCCCCACCCTTCCCTCTCTCCCCACTCTCCCCTCTCTCCCCTCCGTCCCCACTCTCTCCTCTCACCCATCTCCCCCCTCTCCAAATTGTTTGCCCTTCTCTTGTGCAACCAATATGACGACCCAGGCACGGGGAGCAGAAGCCGAAACAGGCGACGCAGGAGAACCAGGGGAAAACGGAGGAGCATCGGGGATCCCCCCGGCAGGGGCGAGGGGGAGGGGGCGGGGAGGGCGGGCGCCGCAGCGCAACGCAGCGACAGCCATGCGGAAACACATCATGTCGTCGTGGACCAACGTGGTGATCACGCTGCGCCACATCATCGGGAACCTCGTGGCCAATCACGTTCCGGCAGCGCTGCTGGACGCGCTGATTCGCCAGCTGCTGTTCTTCGTCAACATGAAGATATTTAACAGGTGTGTGGGTGTATGAGTGGTGGGTGCGTGATTGCAGCTGTACTTTTTGTGTCTGTGAATGTGAAGGTTTTTAGCGAGTGAGTGAGTGTAGTGTAGCTGCTGTTCTTGGTCAACATGAAGATATTCAACAGGTGCGTGGGTGGGTGGGGTGGTTGAGTGAAGGTGAAGATATTTAACAGTTGTGGAGGTTTGTGAAGGTTTGTCAACATGAAGATATTTCACGGATGAGTGAGTGGCTGAGTGTTTTCTTTTTTTGTATTTGTGAATGTGAAGCACTTTAACGGGTAAGTGCGTGTATAGTGCCCGTACACATCATCCTCTTTCTCCCTTTCGCTCTTTCTCTCCCCCCTCTCCCAACAGCCTCATGGTGCGCGCGCAGTGGTGTCCGTGCACGTACGGCAACGGAGAGATGATGGAGGAGGGGCTCAGCCGTCTGGAGCAGAGAAGCGGGTGCAGCTGAGGAAGAAAGGTGCTCTCCGTTCACCAACTCCACTTTCCCCTTGTCCCACTCCACCCTACCAGCCTGATGGTGCGCGCGCAGTGGTGTCCGTGCACGTACAGCAACGGAGAGATGATGGAGGAGGGGCTCAGCCGTTTGGAGCAGTGGGTGCATGATGTGGAAGTGCAACTGAGGGAGGTGCTGGGAGGGGAGAGGGAACCCTTGAGGAAAGAGCTGAGGCACCTGCAGCAGACCATTCTCTTCCTGGTGAGTGGCTAGTGGATGGTTGTACTTGTATGTCGAACCAGTATGTCTGTTTGCAATGGTAGGCAGAGCCCCTTAGCAGTGGGTGCATGACGTGGAGGTGCAACTGAGGGAGGTGCTGGGAGGGGAGAGAGAGCCCTTGAGGAAGGAGCTGAGGCACCTGCAGCAGACCATCCTGTTCCTTGTAAGTAGCTTCGACCTGCTTTGCTTGCCCTACCTGGTAAGTCACACGGTAGCAGCGGTGCGCTCTTGGAGCAGTGGGTGCATGATGTGGGGGTGCAACTGAGGGAGGTGCTGGGCGGGGAGAGGGAGCCGCTCAGGAACCCTGGATCATAAACCAAGGCGAACCCTGGAGGAATTGCGAATGCTGTTCCCTGACCTGAGCATGAACCAGCTGGTGCACATGTGCATCTGGTACGAGGACGACAAGACAAGTAGTGGTCACTCAGTTCAACTCATATTTCCCCCCTCTCTCCCCTCTCCACTGCGCACCAGACCCTGGACCACAAGTTGAGAAGAACTTTGGATAGCTGCGTATGCTGTGCCCTGATCTGAGCATGAACCAGCTGGTGCACATGTGCATCTGGTACGAGGACGATAAGTACGGCACCAAGGGGGGCACACCCAGCTCAGCTCACTTCTTTTTCTGTGTCCCCCTCTCTGACCCTCTCCACTGCGCGGCAGACCCTGGACCACAAGCCAAGACGAACCCTTGAGGAACTGAGAATGCTGTGTCCGGATCTAAGCATGAACCAGCTGGTGCACATGTGCATCTGGTACGAGGATGACAAGTACGGCACCAAGGGCGTGGACCCGAGTGTGATCGAGCAGATGTGGAGCGAGATGGTTGACGACAGCCCCATGCTGCTAAGGGATGGTGAAGGGTGAGTGTGGATGAGAGGATGGTGTATGGTGAGGGGTGAGTTTGGGAGGGGTTGATACGAGGGCACCAAGGGCATGTGTAAGTGTCGGCAAGTGTGGTAGAAGGTGAGTGTGTTTGCCTTCTTGTCCTTTGCAGTACCATAACCTTTCTTTTCCCCTGCATTTACCTCCTTTCCTCCGTTGCATCACTCTCCCCCACCGCAGCATCCCCTTCACAACGGATGAGATAGTACACAGCCTACCCGAGATAAACCTGGACGAGGTAGAACCTCCCCCCGAGCTCCAAGACGACCCCACCTTCCACTTCCTCCTCCCCCTCACCTCCCTCCCCTCCGTCCCCTCCACCCCCACCGCCGCCTCCCACACTCCCCGCAACGCCTCCCCTCGCGTGCCTCCCTCGGTGCCATCGTCTATCCCCCGATCGGCATCGCTCTCCACCGCGCATTCTCGGCCCGGCACCGCTCCCCACCCTGTGGGTGGTACTCCTAGGGGGACCGGGGTGTCATCAGTTACTAGTACACCTCGTGTGACGTCTAGTCCTTGGGATTACTTCCGGGGAAGAGGGGCGTGGAAGAGTGATGATGCGTGATGAAGAGTCGCTTTGAGTCGCGGCACCCAATGAATGGGTGGTGGTACTCTTAGGGCTGCCGGGGCGTCGTCTGTTACTAGTACGCCTCGTGTGCCTTCAAGTCCTTGGGATTACTTCCGGGGAAGAGGGGCGTGTTAGACGAAGATGCGTGATGAAGAGCGGCTTTTGAGGCGCCGCACCCTATGGGTGGTGGTACTCTTAGGGCTACTGGGGCGCAGGGCTGACTATTCAAATAAAACCACTCTGATTGTTTTGGGCCCCTAAAAATTTTTAGTCTGAGGCCCATTTTCCAAACAATGAATACTCTGATTTCTCAGGAACCAGAGAAGTAGAACTCTGAAAGTTTTTAGATACCATAAGACTTAGGCAGGTTTTACTACTGGCGGGTCTTTTGCAAAAGTCCCGAGGAATGTGTTTTCTTCGAAGTAACATGAGTGGCGTAGAGGATTTCGTACTCTATAGTATGAAAACTCATCATCCAGTAAGCAACTACTCTGAAATTTTCAGTACTGAAAAAAACACTAGTCTGAAGCACTCATTTTTCAGAATCAGCCAACTCTGAAAAATCAGGAATGTCAGGAAAATCATATGAAATTTCAGACAATCAGACTAAAATAGTCTGATATCGTCAGCCCTGCTGGGGCGTCGTCTGTTACGAGTACACCTCGTGTGCCATCCAGCCCTTGGGATTACTTCTGGGGGAGGGGCGTGGAAACGATGATGCGTGATAATGAGTGGAGTGTGAGGGAGAGGAAGGAGTGAGGTACGGTAGAAGGGATGGCCAAAGACTTTTTAGACTTGTCTCGAACAAGGAAGAAGCACGAAGGAGGAAGAATAAGTAATGCGCCTTGCATCTGTAGCAGAAGTCCTCTTGTTACCTCCCTCCCCTAGGTTCGTTTGTGAGGCATTTCTTGTTAAGATTGCATGTGCTGGGGGCTTAATTGTAGATACAGTAGCTTCACACCAGCTCTAGTTCATATGCGTGTTTATCATGCACAGGGTGTTTGTTTATGCTTGGTAGGGTAGCTGTGTGGCTGTGAATGTGTTAAGATAGGCATGCTGTATTATACCGTTACCACAAACCATCTCGTAGTATCTAGCAGTGCGGTAGTGTTCAGGATACTCAATGTATGATAGAATAAACTAGCTACAATACTTTCCTCTCTGGTGTAGAGCGTCTTACTGTGCGGCAAGTGTGCTTTTCAACCAATCTCACATCATCAACCCTTACACAACTCACTGGCCAAAGAAGATGCATCCAATTAATTCAACCACCAAGTTAAGCTTGTTACATACGGTAGCAATAATGCAGAAAAATACGGTCATGGTGTCAAATGATATATATATGTGATACATATTGGTAGGCTGTAGTGGGGTAGATGTTATAGGGGATAACCCCTTAGGGTTTTCCTACTTGTAAAATTTCTCTCGATAGTCAACTCACCTTGCCTAGCTATCTCAACATGGCATCTAGAGCAATGGTCCTAAGGACCTAAGATTGGGGCCCACCTACTCATGAGTTACTTTCCCTACAGCTATACCTACGTGCCTACCTTGCCTGCTGCCCGCGCGCGCCTCGGCTGCATGCGCGCGTGCATTTTTTTTTAGCGCGCCCCGCTGCCTTAGCCGCCCGCGTGCTCGCTGCTGTCGCGCGCAGCTCGTCACCGCGCGCAGCCCGCCGCCACGCGCGACCCGCCGCCGCGTGCAGCCAGTAGCCACGCGCAGCCCGCAGCCACGCGCAGCCCGTCGCCGCGCGCAGCCCGCAGCCGCACGCAGCCCGTCGCCGCGCGCAGCCCGCAGCCGCACGCAGCCGCACGCAGCCCGTCGCCGCGCACAGCCAGCTGCCACGCACAGCCCGCAGCCGCGCGCAGCCCGCTGCCGCGCGCAGCCCGCAGCAGCGCGTGCCCTGCCCTGCCTGTGCGCCACTGCCTCGACCTGAGCGCTTAGCCGCCCGTGAGTCGTGCGCTTACCTGCCTTACGCGCGGCCTGTCACAAAACTGCGTGCTTCCTTACCTGCTACAGTTGCCTGCTGCCTGAGCCTGCTGCCTGAACCTGCAGTCTTTGCCTGCTGCCTGAGCCTGCTGCCTGAGCCTGCTGCCTGAGCCTGCTGCCTGAGCCTGCTGCCTGAGCCTGCTGCCTGAGCCTGCTGCCTGAGCCTGCTGCCTGAGCCTGCTACCTGAGCCTGCTGCCTGAGCCTGCTGCCTGAGCCTGCTGCCTGAGCCTGCTACTTTTGCCTGCGCTACAACCATGGCGACCCTTACTGTTCTCGCCTTTGAGCCTGACGGCCGCCCCATCGAGTTTGACACCTGGCTTAGTGACCTGCGCCTTTACCTTATGACTGACGTCGCAGACGGAGTGTCCCTGCTAGCCTATGTGACCGGCACTGTCCCTACTCCTGCTGAGACTGCTCCTGCCCCTGAACGAGCACAGTGGGAGCTCCGCGATGCTGTCGCGCGCCTTGTTATTCGCAATCACCTACCGATCTCTGAGCGCGCGCATTTCAACCAGCTTAAGACTGCTAAGACGCTGTATGATGCTGTCGTTGCCCGCTATTCCGCCCCGACCACAGCCACCGTTGGTAGTCTCATCCTGCCTTACCTGTTCCCAGACTTAGCCTCGTTTCACACTGCTGCCGACCTTATCACTCACCTCCGCGCTAGTGACGCCCGCTTTCGAGCCGCTCTTACCGCCGAGTTCCTCGCCACGAACACCCCCCCGCTGTACTTCACCCTCTACATCCTCGTCACCCGCCTCCCTGACACTCTTCGCTCTGTCAGGGATTACTTCCTTGCCAAGGATCCTCCAACTATCACTCTGGACGACTTCGAGCAGCAGCTGGTCGCAGCAGAGAAGAACATCCTCGCTGTCGGTGCTGCTCGTGGCACTCCCCGCACTCCCCTCTTTGAGGGGTGCTCCCCCTCCCCTCTTGACCCCTCCTACGCCTCTGCTGCTACTGCTGTTGACTTCCTCGGTGCGGAGAAGGTCGCAGCGGCTTCCGCTCCTGGTGGGAAGCGTGGTGGTGGCAGGGGCGGCAAGGGTGGCAGGGGTGGCGGAGGTGGCGGTGGAGGGAGCGGTGGTGGAGGCGGCGGGGGTGGTGGAGGTGGTGGGGGTGGCCGTGGGGGTGGAGGCGGTGGGTGGGGTGGCGGCAGGACCGGGAGCGGTGGAGGCGGCGGCGGCGGTGGTGGGGGAGGAGGCAGCGGCAGTGGCGGTGGAGGTGGGAGTGGGGGTGGATCTGGCCAGAAGGGTGGCCAGCAGCAGCAGCAGCAGCAACAGCCACAGCAGCAGCAGCAGCTTCCTCCCCTCACCTCCCAGCAGCTCAATGACTGGTATGCTGGGCGTGGGGCGTCTCGGGGTTCTGACCGCTGCCCCTATGTCATTCGTACTGGCCCCCGCAAGGGTCGCCCCTGCAACGGTTTTCACACTGAGTATCGTTGTTTTGCTAGGCTTAGTGACGCCTGGCGTACTAAGTATCCTGATGCTACTGAGTTCCCCAACTGGGCAGAGCTGCTTAGGCGTGATGTGCCTATCTTTGATCTGGACTATGATGTTATTCTTGCTGCCATGTATGCATTGACTATTAGTGCTGAGGGTGACTGCTACTTGTGTGTGCCGCCTGACCCCGGTATAAGGACTGCAGCCCTAGGTGCTAGTGAGTCTGCTCCCCTTGGTACTGAGTCGGCTCAGGCCTTGCACACGTTTACACTTGACTCTGGTGCTTCCCGCTGTTTCTTTCGTGATAGCACCACCGTCACTCCGCTCCCTGCACCTGTCCCTGTCTCCCTGGCTGACCCCTCTGGGGGCCCAGTGCTTGCACGCGGCACGACTGTGCTCCCGTGCCCGGCGGTCCCGTCTGGTGAGCTGTCAGGTCTCCTCGTTCCCTCGTTCTCTACGAACCTGGTGAGCAACGCCGTCCTCCAGGATCACTGGGTTGACACCTGGACTCCTGGAGGGCAGCGTGTGGCGATCTGTACGTGCTCCAAGACTGGCCGCCACCTGGCCACGTTCACTCGTGAGCCGGGGTCCAGTCTGTACACCCTCACCACTGTTTCACGCTCCGCTCCTTTGTCTCCACAGCTGTACGCGTCTGCTCAGGTAGCTACCCAGTGTGAGTGCCGCCGCCTGTCGCACGACACGCTCCTGTGGCACCACCGCCTTGGTCACCCCTCCCTGCCTCGCCTTCGTAGCATGCACTCTCGCTCTCTGGTCTCTGGGCTTCCCAGGTCTCTGCCTGCCCTCCCTCCCTCGCCTGCGCCGCCCTGCATTCCCTGCGTCGAGGGGCGGCAGCGCGCCGCTCCTCACTCCTCCTCGTTTCCTCCCACAGAGGCTCCCCTGCAGACGCTTCACCTGGACGTGTGGGGCCCAGCCCGCGTCCAGGGACAGGGCCGTGAGCGGTACTTTCTGCTGGTTGTCGACGACTTCACGCGTTACACCACGGTCTTCCCCTTGCGCAGCAAGGGAGACGTCCCTGCTGTTTTGATCCCCTGGATCCGCGCTGTGCGTCTCCAGCTCCGCGAGCGGTTCGAGCGGGACTTTCCTGTCCTGCGTCTGCACTCTGACAGAGGTGGTGAGTTCTCCTCTGACCTCTTGGCAGCCTTCTGTGCGGAGCACGGCATCACCCAGTCGTTCACGCTTCCGGCCTCTCCGCAGCAGAATGGGGTTGCTGAGCGCCGCATTGGCTTAGTCATGGAGGTCGCTCGTACCTCCATGATCCATGCGGCGGCTCCCCATTTTCTGTGGCCGTTCGCGGTCCGGTACGCCGCGCATCAGCTCAACCTCTGGCCCCGTGTCTCCTTGCCGGAGACCTCGCCCACACTGCTGTGGACGGGGGAGGTTGGCGATGCGTCGCGTTTCCGGGTCTGGGGTGCTCGTGCCTTTGTCCGCGATCTCACCGCGGACAAGCTCTCTGCTCGTGCCATTCCCTGCGTCTTCCTTGGTTTTCCTCCTGACGCGCCTGGCTGGCAGTTTTACGACCCCACCTCGCGCCGTGTCTTTGCGTCTCAGGACGTCACCTTTGACGAGTCTGTTCCCTTCTACCGTCTCTTTCCCTACCGCACTGTCTCTCGCCCCCCCCCGCCGCTCTTTCTCGCTCCAGGTCCTCCCCAGGTAGACCCCCTCCCCGCGCCAGGTCCTGCTCCTTCAGGTGTTTCTCAGGTAGACCCTCCGGTACCTGCGCCTGTTGAGGTCACTGGTGACTCAGGTCCTGCTGGAGGTGGTCCTGCTCGGGGTGCTGTCTCTGGGGGTGCTGAGCCTGGGGGTGCGGAGTCTGGGGATGCCGTGCCTGTGCGTGAGGAGCCTGGCGGTGCTGAGCTTGGGGGTGTCGAGTCTGAGGGTGCTGTGCCTGCGCGTGAGGAGCCTGGAGGTGCTGAGCTTGCGGGTGCCGAGTCTGCGAGTACTGAGCCTACGCGTGAGGAGCCTGGGGGTGCTGGCGCTGGAGGTTCTGGAGCAGCTGGGGGTGCTGGCGCTGAGGGTTCTGAGTCTGCTGTTGCGCGGTCTCCTTGGAGTAGCCGCCTTCGTCCACGTGTGCCTCTCACCCCACAGCAGCTCCAGGACTGGTACGGTCACCGTCAGCGTCGCGCTGCTGGAGCTAGGAGTGGTGCTGGACCTTTGTCTACTGGAGGTGCTGGAGTCGCTGGTTCTGGAGGTACTCGTACTGGAGACACTGAGGCTGGAGACCCTGGGACTGGAGGTGCTGGCTCTGGGGGTGCTGCTGCTGGTGACACTGAGGCTGGAGACCCTGGGACTGGGGGTGCTGGTTCTGGGGGTGCTACTGCTGGAGACACAGGGGCTGGAGACCCTGGGACTGGAGGTGACGACTCTGGGACTGGAGCTTCTGGAGCTGCTGGAGGTTCTGGAGCTGCTGGAGGCACTGGAGCTGCTGGGGGTACTGGAGCTGCTGGAGCTGCCGGTACTGATGCAGCTGCGCCGACACGACTGTTCTTCGCTCCGCCGTCTCCGTCGTCTCTGCCGCCGTCTGACTCTGTTCTTCGTCAGGTTCTTACTCTCCCGTCGTCTACTGGTCTTCCGTTACAGCCTGGCTCACCGCTGCCTGCTCCTTCTCCTTACACTGAGCAGACTGGTAGTCCTGCTGAGCGTCGTGAGCCTGTGTCGCGTCCTGTCTCGCCTGCTCGTCCCGGTCGTCGTGTTCCTCGTTCGCGTCAGCAGGCTGTCCCCAGCACACACCTTGTAGTTCGTCGTCCTTCCTCTGCTCTGCAGCCTGTTCCTCTTCCGTCTCCTCCTGCGTCCTCTCTACCTGACGTTCCAGACCCTGAGTCTGACCGGTTTCGTGCTGAGCACCCTACTGTCACGCGTCTGCTAGCCACTGTTGTCACTGACCCGTCGTTTGAGTCTACTGCTGCGTCTGCTCTTGTCGCTGAGCTTGTTGACTTTGCTGCTGCCTGTCGTCTAGACTACGCCGCCAGTCTTGTTGCTGCGTCTGCGTCTGTCTGTCCTCCGTCCGTCGGGGGTGAGTGTGCTCTTAGCACGGACGTCCTTGAGGACAGGCAGGAGGAGTTCCAGTGTCTTGCTGCTGCTTTACCTCATCTTGTGTCCTCGCTACTTGCCCCTGAGGGAGACCCGGATGCACCAGACATCCCGACTCCGCGCTCTTACGCAGAGGCGATAGAGAGTCCCTACTCCTCTCAGTGGCAGGCAGCCATGGACGCAGAGATGGCTTCCTGGAAGTCCACAGGCACCTATGTCGACGAGGTTCCCCCACCTGGGGCGAACATCGTCAGTGGCATGTGGATTTTCAGGGTGAAGCGGCCGCCGGGTTCTCCGCCTGTCTTCAAGGCGCGTTACGTGGCTCGAGGCTTCAGTCAGCGAGAGGGAGTTGACTTCTTCCAGACCTTCTCCCCCACCCCGAAGATGACCACTCTTCGGGTGCTGCTGCACGTTGCTGCTCACCGTGACTACGAGCTTCACTCTCTTGACTTCAGCACTGCTTTCTTACAGGGCAGCCTGCACGAGGAGATCTGGCTGCGCCGCCCCCCGGGCTTCACTGGGTCGTTCCCTCCTGGCACCCAGTGGAGCCTCCGACGGCCGGTCTACGGTCTCCGCCAGGCGCCACGTGAGTGGCACGACACACTGAGGACGACACTTGCGGCTCTTGGGTTTGCGCCTTCTACTGCTGACCCGTCGCTGTTTCTGCGCACAGACACTTCACTGCCGCCGTTCTACATCCTCGTGTACGTCGACGACTTGGTTTTTGCCACTGCTGACACTGAGGCTCTCACCCACGTGAAGTCGGAGCTACAGAAGAGACACACGTGCACTGACTTGGGTGAGCTGCGCAGCTACCTTGGCTTGCAGATCACCCGGGACAGAGCACGCCGCACCATCACCTTGACTCAGTCACACATGGTGCAGCAGGTCCTTCAGCGCTTCGGCTTCACCTGGTCTTCAGCACAGGCCACTCCTCTGGCTACAGGTCACACGCTCTCAGCTCCACCTTCGGACGAGTCCGTAGAGCCGAGTGGTCCTTACCCAGAGCTAGTCGGCTGCCTCATGTACCTGATGACTTGCACTCGACCTGACCTCGCGTACCCTCTTGGTCTCCTCGCTCGCTACGTGGCTCCTGGTCGACACCGACCTGAGCACATGGCTGCTGCTAAGAGGGTACTGCGCTACTTGTGCAGCACATCAGGCATGGGGCTAGTGCTTGGAGGGACGAGCCCAGTTGTCCTCACTGGGCACTCAGACGCTTCTTGGGTTGACGACCTGGCTACTCAGCGGTCGTCACAGGGTTACACCTTCAGCCTTGGCTCTGGTTCAGTTTCGTGGCGTTCTACACGCTCGTCTTCAGTTCTTGGCTCCAGTTGTGAGGCTGAGATCTACGCCACCGCCATGGCTGCACAGGAGTTACGCTGGCTCACCTACCTGCTGACTGACTTGGGAGAGCAGCCTCGTTCTCCTCCAGTGCTGTACGTTGACAACAAGGCCGCCATTGCCTTGTGTGAGGAGCACAGACTGGAGCACAGAACGAAGCACATTGCTCTGCGTTACTTCCTGGCTCGAGAGTTGCAGCAGCGAGGCCAGCTTTGTCTTCGTTACGTGGCCACTCGGGCCAACACTGCTGATATATTCACCAAGGCACTTCCGTCTGGTGATCATCAGCGCTTTTGTACTCTGTTAGGCCTTGTGCCTATGCTTCCACACTTGCTGTAGTCTTTGCTTGTACTGTGATCTATATACCTATATACCTGCATGCTGGCTCTTGCTAGGTAGCTCGACACTGTACTGTCATTGCTGCATATATATCTCTGCATGTGAACTGGCCTTGTGGCCATTTGCTTGTGCTCAGAATGTGTGGTGACGTTGTGATCCACCCTGAGCTTGTTTTGTTTCTCTTGACTGGTCTTGTGACCCATTGCTCTCCCCCACTTTGCCTATGGGGGTGTGTCAAATGATATATATATGTGATACATATTGGTAGGCTGTAGTGGGGTAGATGTTATAGGGGATAACCCCTTAGGGTTTTCCTACTTGTAAAATTTCTCTCGATAGTCAACTCACCTTGCCTAGCTATCTCAACACATGGTGGGCCTGTGCTGATACGGTCGCCCCTTCTCTACTGCTCCTCTGTGCATCCAACTCCTCCCACTCCCCCTCGCACACTCACTCCCCCTCGCACACCCACTCCCCCTCGCACACCCACTACACCCGCCACCCCACAGCATGACTGCCTCTCGCTCCTTGTGCCTCAGCCCCTCCTACCTTGCGTTCTCATCCAATGCTCTCCTCTGTGCCTCCTCCACCTTCCACTGATTCTCCACCAACATTTGCTACAGCTCCTCCCTCCCATCCACTCCCTCACACGCCCACTACACCCGGCACCCCACTACTCAGCCTCTCCAACTTCTCCTGCTCCCTCCGCTTTTGCTCCTGGGGAATTACACACACCCACTACACCCGCCACCCCACAGCATTGACTGCCTCTCGCTCCTTGTGTCTCAGCCCCTCCTCTCTCGCTCTCTCCTCCGCTGCTCTCCTCTGTGCCTCCTCCACCTTCCTCTGATTCTCCGCCAACATTTGCTCCAGCTCCTCCTGCTCCCTCCGCTTTTGCTCCTGTGGCATGACCCAACATAAGAAACAAGGCAAGAACAGAAGCAACCAAACAAACAGACAGAGAAAGAACTATGAAGGGGATAAAGAAACAGACGCATAAACCCCCACCCTTTCCACTTCCAGTTCTGCTCGTTAAGGTCTCACAAAGATCCACATAAGCACATTCACTCCCTCCTTCACTCCCTCCCCCGCTCACCTCTTTCTGCCGGGCATCGGCCAGCAGTGCCAGCTTCTCTCTCTCCAACTGCGCCTGCACCTCCTCCCTCAGCTTCTGCCTGCCTGCTGCCGCCATCGCTGCCACCTGCTGCTGCACCCGCTCGCATGCCAACTCCGCTTCTACTCTCTCTCTTATAGCCGCCTCCACTCGCACTGCCATCTCCTCCTCCTCCCTCCTCTCCTCCTCCTCCTGCTCCTTTCTGGACCGGTTGAAATGGGCACAATAAGGGGATAAAAATGGGGAAATGGAACCTGAAGTTGGTGACAGAAAGCTACCAAGGATGAGCAGACGTGAAGAACGGTTCATGGGACCAACCAAGAATGAAGTACGAATACAAGAAAAGAAAGCTTGGGTAAGGTGTTGTGCAGTCCTTTCTGTTGGCAGACTCGTGTGTGCTTTCGTTGCCTCTACTCCTCTCTTGTCTCCTCCCACATATCCTCTCCTACTTTCCCCGTCATTTCCTAATTTGAATCTCTCATCCTTTGTTCCCTCTTGTTGACTTTTCTAAAGCCATAAAAAAAGCAAAGGAAAAAAAAAATGTACCGTCTCGTTTCCTCCTCTTCAGCTAGTCTCCTCCATCTCTCCCTCGCCTTCTGCCTCTCCCTCTCCCTCTCCCTCTCAGCCTCTTCCTCCTCCTCCCTCGCCCTGTCCTCCTCTCGCTCCGCCCTCCCCCTCTCCCTCTCCTTCTTCTCCTTCTCCTTATCCTTCACCCCCTCCTTCTCCCTCTTCTCCCTCTTCTCCTTCTTCTCTTTACTCTCCTTCACGTCTCTCCCGTCTCTCCGCCTCTCCCCGCGGCCTTTCTCAGCAGCGTCAGAGGGTGAGGGGGAGCGAGAGCTGGAGGAGAGAGAGGAGCGGGAAGAGGAGCGACTGTGGCTGTGCCTGGAGGGTACGGGCGAGTGTAGGGAGATATGAGGTGAAAATGGGGATTAATGAGGTGAGTATGAGGTGAGAATGAGGTGAGAAGGGATTAGAAACGGTGAGAACCTTCAGTGAGACATGTGAGGAAATCTCAGCAGCGATACGAACTAATTTCCGAATACCGTGCGACCAAATTGACCACATGCGGACTGTTCTGATTACCTGCGCGCATAAGTAATCGCCTGAGGGCGGAACTAAGCACCTGCGCGCAAAAGTATCACCTGCGCGCGGAACTAAACACCTGCTTCTGGAACTGATCACCTGCGCGCCGCGGGAGACGGGCTGCGCTCGTCCCTCCGGCTGCGCCGCGCCGACGATCGCGGAGGGGTTAGGGATCGCGACCGGGACCGCCGGGAAGAGGGAATTCCGGCGGGGGAGCGGGATTTTCGGCGAGGCGGGGTTCGGGAGGAGGAGCGCGATTTCCGGCGTCTGCTAGGGGGCGACTTTGAGACGGATCGCGCCATGGATAGACACTAAACAACAGGCACTTCTGTTTGTCACCTCATCACAGAGTGTTGACGTGGCGAGATTAGAAACGTGTCAATGCTTCTCAAGTTGTACGGAACGCGCTTTGGGTGTCAGCGAATGAATGCAGAGAGCTGACGCGTATTTTACTATGGCTGAAATGGAAGTCTCAGTCAAGAATGGGATGCATCGTAGCGCTGAACAACCAACCATCCTAACAATAAGGGCGCGTAACTTAGCCAGGCATCATGAAAATTTAATAGACGGACGATTCGGGGAGTGGTTCGGCACCACGGTACGGCCCATCCCTTGCCCGGCTTACTGTTCAGATGTAACGCAGCACATGGGTTTCGCAATCTTTTGGAAGGAATAGCGGCTCGGGAACACAGCGGAAACAGGGGTTGGAAATGAACGAACATTGTCCCGGAACGAGAGAATTGCTCCAAACCCTTGTTTGGTGATTCGGCATTGCACACGTGGTCTCGCACGACGTCGCACAACAATTTGCGAAATTGTCGAGACAATTGAATCTCGGCTAAGTTACGCGCCCTAAGGAAAAAAGTCGCAATTCACAATAACCCGATATTGCCACACCCATGACAGTGTTTTAGATCGAACATGACCACACATCCCTACCTCCCTGAATCAGTTCACCACCATGAAGCCTTCTCTGAGGTCTGGAAAGCAAGGCAAGGCAGGCAACCAACAACTATATCGCCGCAGAAACAAGAAGCGCCACAAACAAGTACCACATGAAGTGCCATAAACAAGTAGTTCTATTACACACATCAATTAAACTGCACAATCCTGTTGTTATCCCCATACCTCTCCCAAACCCCTCCAAACGCCCAATTCTGAAACCCGCCATCGTCCATGTTCTCAACCGAGAACGGACCCTGCTTGTAATACACCACAAATACCGGGTCATAAAAGAAATGTGCAACTTTGACCTCGGCGGACGACGGATCCCCATTCACCAAGTGCAAGTTAGTTTTCTTGATCACCATCACGTTGTAACCCGCGTTCATGAAAATTTCCACCACCTTCACCGTCACCTCGCCGTCGTCATACACACCCTCGATTGTGCCCAAGCTCCCTGCCATGATCTGATCCGCCGTCACCCCGTCCCAGCTAAACAGCTTCCGCTCGACCCTGTGCGGAGATCCCAAGGCCGAGGTAGAGCTGAACGTGCGAGCGCCGGTGACGGCGGCTGCTGCGGTGGTCGATGACGCCTGCAGCATGGGCCGTGCTGCGTTGGCGCTGGTGACGGCGAGGAGCACGAGGAGAGCGAGAGACAGCAGCTTGCGCGCTGCGGGGAGCCAGGAGTTAATCGCCATTCTCGAGATGCCTGGGATCGGTCGTCGCAATCAGTGTCGCACGAATGAGAGCAACCCCGCTGATAGTGCAGCTGTGGAAACGGCGAGGAAACGATGTTGTGAAAAGGCTGATGGCGAAAGACATCTTGAATGCCTGATTTATAGGCCTTACTAGTTCTCAAGCCTAGAGCTGGACGCAGCTCATTATCTGCTCGAGTCGCCATAGCCAGAAGTATGCGTTTCGGACCCAGTCGGACCCAGTTGATCAACGCTATGGCAGGTCCGAAGTTCGAGGGTAGAAAGCGGGCTCGATAACGGAAATAGTAAGGGTCCGACTTCAGCAGCTGACGACGAGGGAGCAAGAGGAGGGCAGCGAAGGTGAGGTTATGGAAAGGGAGGTCAGAAAGAAATATGATGGAGCAATATGCGAGGTTTGACGAGATCTTTGTGACTCGCAACATAACAAGGTTGGGTCGTGTCGGGATGACCAGGTCAGCGAAACCGGACCCGAACTAACCCGACCGAAATGAAACTCGAGAAACCGAAGAGTTTAACTGCAACGCAACCTTCCTACAAATTCAGGGTCGGGAATTGTGCTGGGTTGGGTCGCGGGAAACTCTTCGGTTCTCGTGTTGCATTTCGGTCGGGTTGGGTTGGGTCAGGTTTAGCCGACCGGGTCGACCCGACCCGACCCGAACCTGTTGGGTCCAACACGTCGTAAGCAGCACACATTTGAAGAACTCCGCAGCGTAATTGCTTCGGCTGCGATTTTCGAAACGTGCGAGACTAGCTGTAAGGAATTTTCTCAAATTCCTTATCGGGGTTGACTACTGCGCGTACAACCCGATTTTCGGAGTTCGCACGTTCGGGCGATTTCCACGCTGCCGAAGCTCCTCACGTCGCCTTCGGCATTTCCATCGCCAAACCTGCACCCAACCTCGCTCGTCCGAGGTTTCCTCCTAGCTAGGCTAGCCTAAATGAGTTCTCGCATTCATTGTATTCGCAGATTCATTCAGTCACAGTCTCGTTATTCGTTTACCTGCGCACTCTCTTTTACAACTCATAACACCTGGTATCAGAGCTACTTTCCTAGTTCACCCCGCTTTTCAAGGGTAGTTTGGTGGCATAGGGTGTGGTTGGTTTAGTGACTACACGACGGTTGGCTGCAGAGGTTGTTAACTCAACCCTGCCCGACTCCGATAGTTCGTGTTTTCACTTGCCGGGCGGCCACGGGTACCCAACTGCCCACCAGACGTAGTGCTAGAAACATGGATCAGGAGGCTGTTAACCGACTGATGGCGCAAGTGGCAGAAATGGCGAGGGGCATGGAATCGCTGCAAGCGGAAGTGACAACACTGAAGGAGGAAAACGCCGAGCTACGCCGGACGCGAGGTGAAGCGCGTCAGACGTCGCCTGTGGACGAAGGCGAGGGCAACAGTCAAGTGATGGGCAATCCTCTGGACGAGCTCACACGCGACTTCGAAGAAGAAGATAGGCAGCGAGCGGCGGCAGCGCCAGTTGCAGTTACGACGATCAAGATCAAGCCCGTCAACCCGCCCCCGTTTAATCCTACGGACAAGACGACCACAGTAAAGGGGTGGCTGTTCGGGGTTGAAGTCTTCTTCACTGCAGCCGGAGTTAATGACGATGCCACGCGCATTAATTACGCAGTCTCACTTCTTCGAGGTGCAGCACTTGAATGGTGGCGCCGGACCTTGGAAACAGGGACGTCGACAGGTGTGACACATGCGGCAGACGGGACCTCTACAGTGGTTAATCAAGTTGCAGAACCGATCTTCGGTGTGACCAAGATACGCACATGGAAGGAGTGGGGCGCAGCCTTACGGGATCGCTTCGAGCACATATCCGCCTCGGAGCAAGCTCGCATGAAGCTGCGTGCATGGTCGCAGATGGGATCTGTCCAAGACTACACGGCGTCATTTATGGGCTTCGCCGACCAAATCGATGACATGTCGGAAGCTGAGCGGTTGGATAAATACGTGAGCGGCCTTAAGTACGAGATACAGTTCGAAGTTCGCCGCAGCCGCCCGACATCGTTCCTCGAAGCAGTACGCGTGGCAGAGTCAACGGATGCGCTGATGCAGTACGCGAGAACGGCTTCCAGGGATGGGAGAGGTTTTCGTGGCCAGACCCATCGGGCCACAATCAACGCCGTCCATACACCCGACCGCCCTCCTAAGGGTCAGTGTTTCCGGTGTGGGAAGGTGGGTCACTGGAAGAACGAATGCAAGGAGAAAATGCCGCTGACAGAGAACGACAGGAAGGAGCAGGGAAATGGGAAGAGTCAGTAAGTAGCGGGCCCTTTACTGACTGTGCTCCGTCGCCCGAACACCACCATCCCCACCGAGTCGTGGTTCCGATTCATGCAATCGATCGCACTCGGCCGAATAACGGGGATAATCATGTGGATCACCCTGTGCTGGTCGCTGGCAAGGTGGGGAAACATCATTTGAAAATGTTCGTCGATGGAGGGGCCAGCCATAGCCTCTTCAACTTGGCGAGCGCAAAAAAATGCAACATGCAACTTGACAGGTGTCTGCCCGAAATCGACGCACGACTCGTGGATGGGACGCCTCTGGCGATAACGGAAGAAACACGGATGGTGCGGATCGAGTGCGGCGAAGATTTCGGCTTCAGCATGAAGTTCCTCGCGACGACGCTGGATGGCTGCGACGTGCTGCTGGGACGCGATTGGCTGCGACGACACAACCCCGTCATCGACTGGACAACGGGATCGTGCTGCGTCAGCAAGCACGAGGGGCTAATTAAGTTGCCTGCATGGACACCTGACTACATACAAGCCCCGTGCGTCAAAGCCATCACCATCGCCCACCACTTCAACAGGGGTGCGCAGCTGTTCGCCGTCTGCTTGCGCGAGTTGGCAGTCGACACCGACGGAAAGGACATCGAAAAGCTGTGTGCAGCTGTTCCTCCGGATTTAGCGGAGCTAATTCGACGGTACCCCGACATTTTCCCGGACGATTTGCCACCTGGGCTGCCACCCGAAAGACCCGAAGACCATAAAATCCAGCTGGAACCTGGCGCGCAACCTACTGTTCGGACACAGTGGCGGTTGACCCAACCGGAACTCGAGGAGCTACGCCGACAAATTGTTGCACTGTTGGAGAAAGGCTTCATTCGGCCGAGCACCTCCCCGTTCGCGGCACCGATCCTGTTCACTCCAAAGAAGGACGGCGGGCTTCGCATGTGCATCGATTATCGCGCGTTGAACAGGGTGACCATCAAGTCTCGCTACCCAATCCCACGCACCGACGACCTCCTCGATCAACTTCGCGGCGCTCGCTACTTCTCGAAAATCGACTTACGTGGCGGTTACCACCAGATTCGGGTCTTCGCCGACGACTGTCACAAGACCGCGTTTCGTACACGCTACGGGAGTTACGAATTTACAGTGATGCCTTTCGGCCTCAGGAACGCGCCTTCGATATTCCAACTGACCATGAATAGGGTTTTTCGCGATCTTCTAGACCGATGTGTCATCGTCTATTTGGACGATATCCTGATTTTTAGCAAGACACGGGAACAACACCTCCGCGACCTGGACGCAGTTTTTAAAGGCTGCAAGAAAACCGGCTCATCACCAAGGGCTCTAAGTGCGAGTTTTTTAAGCAGGAGTTGGAGTTTTTAGGGCACGTCATCTCCCGCGACGGCATTAAAATTGACCCGGCGAAGATTAAAACCATCCAGGAGTGGAAGGCCCCGACTAATGTCACGGAGCTCCAGAGTTTTTTGGGGTTCGTGAATTACGTCCGGCGGTTTATCCCGAATATGGCGGGGATAACCGGCCCGCTGACCGACCTGCTGCACAAGGACAAGAATTTCGTGTGGGGGGAGGAAGCAGAGGTGGCTTTCCAGGAGCTCAAGAATTTTCTCGTTTCTCCTCCTGTACTGCGCATCGCCGACCCATCAAAGCCGTTCGAAGTCGTAACCGACGCCTCTGATTTCGCCATCGGAGCAGTGCTTCTCCAGGATTTCGGGAACGGGCTGCAGCCGATCGCCTACGAATCACGCAAGCTGCAAGCTGCCGAACGCAACTACCCGATCCACGACAAGGAGATGCTCGCCATAATCCACGCGTTTAAACTATGGCGATGCTACCTGGTGGGCGCCGACGTCACTGTGCGCACGGACCACAAGTCCCTACAGTACCTGCGAGCTCAACCGAACCTCAACCCGCGACAAATTCGGTGGCTGGATTACATGGAGAGCCACTTCACCTACCGCATCACGTACAAGAAAGGGGCGAATAACATCGCCGACGCCCTGACCAGACCGACCGTACAATCCGCTGCTGTACTGATCACCCATTCGAACCCGCTACTTACAAGACTATTCACCCACGGCTACACTACGGACCCGTTCTTCACGACAGGAAATCATCAGCAGGCCACGACGCAGAAGGGGGATTATTACCTAAAAGCCGGCACCGACAGGATTTGGGTCCCCGCTTACCGGCTGCTGCGTGAACTCCTCATCCAGGAGGTCCACGATTCGAACTACTCCGGACACTTCGGGGTTGATAAAACCCAGAAATTACTGCACCGTCAATATTACTGGCCCGATTCCTCTAACGACGTGCAGCGTTACGTGTCAAGCCATGAAATCGACACGACAGCGACCAGCTGGGCTGCTGCAACCCCTCGAGCCACCCGAACGACCGTGGCAACAGGTGACGATGGATTTCGTCACGGGGATGCCAGCTGGGCCGTCCGGCAACGACGCTGTCCTCGTCGTTGTCGATCGCTTCACGAAAATGGCGCACTTCGCACCATGCCGAACGACGATCACAGCCGAAGAAACTGCGCGCCTCTTCATCTCAACGGTCGTGCGACTACACGGCATCCCTTCGGCGATCATCACCGACCGGGACCCGAAGTTTACATCCAAGTTTTGGAAGGAAACATGGGCGCAGTACGGCACGAAGCTACAGTTCTCATCGGCCTACCACCCACAGACGGACGGACAAACCGAGCGAACCA